CACAGTGCATACATAACACTAAACAGAAGTGTATTTCCACCTTTCAGTTGCAATAAGCAGGTCCAGGCAAGAATTAGCAATCACAATGAGTAGAAAAAGCTAACTTTTCCCTTAGTCACTGGAAACGTTATTATTGTAAAACTGACCCTTAACAGAAAGATCCCTTCCTCAAAAACAGTATAAGAGGAGAAGCAAAACCCCCTAACATCTTTCAACAGGATTTAACAGAATAAAGGAAAGCGTTTGTAGCAAAGTAACGATGGCAGCTGTAATTTAACATGCAGTAAATGACCGCAGCGCTCCCCCTGGTGACAAGGTACCCACCATGAGAATCAGCACAGCGCTGCAGCTGCTGCAATACATCCTCCTTCTTCCAGAAACTTTGTAGCAATACTGCAGTTGATCCCACTGAAATACGATCAGAAAGACTCTAATGGCACGATGAATTATCATGCCTCAGCTTCAGAAATGTGTTCTACATTATCAGAAAAATGTTCTTACACCAGTGATGCTGCCAGGTGTAAGTCACTGCAGCATGGAGGAAAGAGCATGAAATGAGATTTCAGAACAGAAATGTGGATTTGGATTTAAATTTAAATTTGATTTTAGCACTAGAGAAGCAATTTACAATGGATAAAGGTCCTAGAAGGAGATGAAAAAAATGTTTTCTAACCAGTAGGGCATGGGATCTTTAGGAACAGATACAAAGGATCTCAGGAAACCAAACTGTTAACTAGTTTTGTACTAGAAAATGTTTGGATGAATTGTTCAGCTCAGGCCAATATAGTAAGAGTGGGTTGAGGACAGCAAGCCCATAGCCAATGACACCTTTCCCTGTCAATTAAGTAAAGCAAGTTTATCAATTGGTTTTGCAAGTGTGGAAATCTGTATCAAGCTTGTGCCTCAATAGTGTTTGGCTACCAAATGCGACTTTCTCAATGCAGTGAAACTGGCTACACTTGAGAGAGAAACAAAATGCTTAAGGATGGCTATTAAGAGATTCATAATATCATTGGTTGTGCCCATGTAACCCTGCTGGCAGGCTGCCAGCAGAGCACTCAGCCCTGTAGCTGGTACCTTGGTAATGAACTGCTGCAACAGGACAGACTGGGAAAGTTCCTGGGGAGGCGTAAGCATCAGCTTCCCTGCAGCTTCGGGTGCTATCCAAGGAAACATCAACCCTTACAAAAAGCAAACATCCCAAAGGGTCAAGGTCCTTGGAAACATTTCAATTTGGTTTTTGTTGCAAAACAATCCACATTGTCACTGAACTTTGGGTGGGTGAAAAAAACACAACCAGGCTGCTCAGGTGAAGGCATAGCACCACAAGAGCAAGAGCTTCCACAGTTGTGTTCACAATTAAAGATCTCTCACAGTTTGACAAGACTTGCTGTGATATGCAGCATTTTTCTCTCTGCCCTTCTCCATCTCTTGACATCTACAGAAACTGGGATAGCAACCTTTGGTCAGTTTACCTTCTCTCAGAAGTGTTTGATGAGCCATAGCCAAGACAAAGAAGGTGGTTTTAGATCCCTGAGATGCTGCAGGAAACTTTTTGCATGCTGAGGAATATATCCCTATGCCAGCTATCCTCTTCGCAGGTTTTCCGGATTTTTTAATTGGATTCCAAGGGGAAAAAGGAGTTTTTGCAATATTATACTTCCAACTTCTATATTGTAGAAGGCAAATTTTGTTCAGGACACAACTTACACAAGCTGGGAAGCGTCCTCACTCTTGCCTATTCAAAGACTGCTGTGCCCTTGCTGGTGCTGAGCATATATATAAAAAAACACCTCTGACAGAGGAATCAAAACAAAGGACAGACAGCTTTAAGTACATTACCTTGGGTTACACAGTTCACAACAATTGCTTCCCTATGAAACAATTCTTGTCAGATTTTGTGGTTAACAAACCCCTTTAGCTAAGGGGTGACCAGTTTGCTTTCTGTCATCAAGAACAGTTAAGATGTGCCACTTTATTTGTATTTTCTGCCTGAAGAGTGACTCCGCAGGTCCTGTATACAAATTCCCCTGCTCTGAAGAAGATACCACATCATTGCATAAGAATATCTTTGCTATATCATTAATTTTAATTCCAACCTGTACTTCAATATGCACATAACTATTTTCAAATACAATGAAAACTTGAATTCAACAGCATCAGAGCTTTCAGTAAATCCTTCACAACTTCAGAAAAATCTCTATAAACATTGTGTAAGTAGATACAGAATGTACAGAGAACGGTTTTCTATACAAAAGTGCATTTTAGCAATATAATTAGCAGAGAACCTGGGGAAAAAAATCCCTCAATTTAAGCAATACCATATACTCTAATCTATATCATCTCCCCCACAAAAAAAAAAAACAAAACAAACAAAAAAACCCACCTTCCCCTTGCTTTGGTTATTAACTATTTTCAAGGCTTCAATACCACAATTGGGTTTTTTTACACTGAAGAATTTATTTGTCATATGGAAATGTTTTAAAGTTAGCCAGATGAGAGAGAATGCAAATATGATTCATCAGAGTTAACAGTCAAAATAGACAAACTTTGAATATTACTTAGATTTGCCCTTGATAGATTAATAAACTAATCTTTGCAATCCTTAAATGGACAACTGTTGACTTTTCTGTGCCCAAGAACTAACTGCAAGATCAGTCAGCTTAAGAACATGAAACCAATATATCTAACAACATTTGCCATGAAAATCTGGCTTATATGAATGAACTTTAAAAGCTCCCAAAACAGTCAGGTTTATTAATATTTATAGACCAATGCATCAACTGATTTCAAAGTTGAAAGAGTGTTAGGAGAAAAGAAATGGCTTCAGGACATTCAGCATAGATGAACAGTAAATATTGCCATTTTTATCTTTCAATATTGTATATGCACTCTGATGTAAATGCATGTTCAAGCAGGTTGGTTGGTTTGTTTTCTCCCCAGAGAATGATCTTCACAGGCTTCAAACCACAATATGAGAACTAACATTTGAGCCCAGGAAAGTCTTGTAAAGACTTTTCCTGCTCTTCTGAGTAAGCACCCCATACTGAGCACATTGTAACCATCTCTTTATCAGCTTCCCAAATTAAAAAAAAAATAGGTATTTTAACAAAAGATGACATTAGATACAAAGAAATCAGCCAAGTTTGCCAACTTTCTTCCTCATATTTAAAATCATATTAGAAAATAATGTTCTCTCTTGTTTACAGTCCTATTGCAATCAAACTTTCAGTGCTCCTTCTAAGCCTTTTTAGAGAAAAAGTTACCATGGAAGCAAACTGTTATTGTTACAGAGTGTAAATTGATTATATTCACACTGCGGTGGATACAAAGTTCCTACAGACACAGTTTAGGTACCATGAAGCCATATAACTATGAGCTTTTTCCTGTGTGTCTCTGTGTTACTTTTAAGCTTGACATTTTTTCTCTATTAATAGAAAGCAGGGATTTGATTTATTTTTTGAGAAAAACCACAACAAGGATGCATTATTTTAGCGGTCTGTTACTCTTCCTCATCAGAACCCACTAGTTACACCTGTAGCCACAATGGCCAAAACTTAAATCAGCAAGACCAGATTTTACTGACATTCCAACTGTTTGACTAATACCATGGGTATTTCACAGAAATTCATAGATTTTGATTGGAAAAGTCCTTTTAAGATCATCACCTCCAACTGTAAATCTAACACTGCCAAGCCTACCACTAAATCGTGTCTCTTAGTGCCATATTTACATGTCTTTTCAAACCACCATGGATGGGGTATTCCTGAGTAAGCATTGAGCATGCTGCAGGGAAAAACATGAATCTGACAAAAAATTTGCCCCCACCATAAAATGAGTGTGTCACTGGAACTACAGGGGATGAGAAAACAAAAGGGAAAAAAAAAAAACAGATGTGTGAAAGTATGTGAGAACTCTTGAATCCCACAGTCACTTCAGGCCTGTTTCTCTGAGATCAGGAAAAGACAACATTATATCTCTGAGTACTTGGCAAAGAACATTCAGGGTAAGCAAGATGTTATTCTGCAGAAATTCAGAGTTTTGTATTCTTTGTATTCTAATAAGCATCCTGGATCTGTGAGATCTCAGAGCTATAAATTATTAGCATGGAATCCCTGGAAATCCACTCTCTTTTATCATTTTAACTGTCACACATGACTGAAGTACTTGCTGGAGACATCACAGCACAATCAGCTATTCTGGCACCCAGGACCTTTTTGTCCAATGTAACAGATGAGCAACTGGACCCACCTAATCACTTAGATTAATTTATACTTACATGCTCATACTATGATGGAAATATTATCCTCCCTCACTTCATGATCTCTGGAAGCTAGTAGACAGGTGACCAGAATGAACTACACCTCATCAAAATGATGGGGTCTTCTCTCAACAAAACCCTGAGGCATTTTAAACTCTGAATAACTGCTGAAACAGAATAAAATGGCACACTTTCATGCTCCACCACACTGAGATATTGCACCTTTCTTACAATTCACTTCAGAGTTTCAATTCTCTACAGTATAAAGTGTGCATTTTTCTTCAGAAAAAAAATTCAATCACATTTCAAAGTCACTGCAGAAAATAAAGGTTGTACTGAACTTTGACAGTGTACACATGGTGAAGTATTTCATGATGAATTCATCCATTACCATGGAAGAGTTTAACAACCACACCCTGAAATTAGCCAAATTGATAGCAATTAAATTTTATCTTCCATACAAGGTATTTAAAAAAGCTCCAGATTTAAGTCAATCTAAATTCTCAGTAAAGTGTATAGTGTTAAGAAGTTTTCAGTATTGGTTATACAGGAGTGAGGCATCAACCAGCAACAGTGCAGTACAAGCAAATACTGACAGGTCACAGACACCTGTGGTTAGTGGACAAATAACTGGCTATATGGGATAGCTAACATGAGCTTAAAATAACATTACTTGCCTTTAGTCAGTCAATGGCTAAGCCTGGGGACCTGTTGTAGAGCAGCACTAAGTTCAAACATATTAGTTTGACTATGGACCTCATTTATTTCTTATCAAAACCCTTTCAGAGGCCATTGTTCAGATAATTTACTGGTCAGTTTATTTTGAGGCTATAAGGAATGCCACTTCTGAAAAAAAAATACCTCAGCTGTCAGGGCTAATAAGACTGTGCAGGACACAGAACATTAACATCAATAGTCCTAAAGCTGAACATGCATTCTGCAGGATTGGGCTGTATCCTACAATTACAGACACCTGTGGCCATGCTAAACTCCTTAATTCAAGAGCATAATTAAAGTAATGAAGCATCAACATAATAAAAAAATATTTCCTAAACTCAGAACTCAAACATACTTTTATAAAGTTTTAAATTTCATGTTAAAATTTAGAACTATCATTTTTATCTCAGCCATGTGGGGAAGGAGTTCTATAAAAGTAGTTCCAAGATAAAGACTAAAATCATCTTAAAGACTGTCAGAATTAAGAAAAAGGTTGAAACTACTACTACTTCCGTACCTGAAAGCCACAATTTTACCTAATTTTCTTATCATGAGAAATTTCAAAAGCTGATAGACAACAAAAGGAGAATTCTGATACATGTCATGGTGTAACGGCCCACACAGAAGACAACCTCAGCTAAACATACAATTAAAAAAGTACAGCTGCATTAATTAAGTTCTTTTGTCAACAATATGAATCTATTTAAATATGCTTCTGGGGAAGAAAACCACTCAAGCTGTGTGCCACTTGTTTGCACTTCTGTTTCCAGTAGTGTTTTTAACTATTTTAAGTAGTGTCCTAGACAACTTAATTGTAGATTAGTGTATTTTCAATGCATAAATGTGTTTTTATTGGAATCTTTTCACAGAAATACTAGGGATGTACTGGTGAACCATTAGTAACAATCATAAGATACTGAGCAGCAAAATAACCTTCTGAAGACTAAGCCCACAATTATTTTGAGAGTTTTTTAAATTTTAGTTGGTTCCTAAGAACTACATTATTAGGCAGTATTTGTATTACAGATTCTCTGCATTAGATGTCCTGCTTCTTGTTTTCTGTGTAATTTGAGTTAAATCACAACTTTTAGAAAAGTATCAATAGTACTTTGATTTTGTACAAATCAAGAGCAAGACTGAAGAAAGCCCCACAGAGCAAAAGATTTTTCCTCATGCTAAACAATCTTCCTAATAATGGGAAAGGAAGACAGAAAAAGCCAAGTGTAATACTAACTCTAAGTTGGAAAAAAACCTAAATATGCTGAAGCATAGTAATGCATGCTTTGTGTCATCCAAAAGCACCCCTAGACTTACGTGCAAGTAAATTAGCATGTTAGCCAAGTTCAAATATCCTTAAAATCATATCTATTCAGCAGCCTTTCAGAAGACAGATAAGTTTCTGAACTCTTTGTTGCAAAATCAGTCTCAAAAAGCTGAAGTTACTCAATACTTAGACCTTCTTAGCAAAATTACACTTGAGAAAACATCTGGTTTGTATTGTTAACACTAATTAAAATTTGGTCAAGAAATATATGTAAACAATAAAGATAATACATTTAAGGCTTAGAAAGAACACTGATAAATTCACCCCTGTCACATTAAAACATCCACATCTCCTTCATGGTCCTCCTCAGTCACTTTTAAAGACAGCACTTCTTCATTAAGGAATAATCCACTCAGTCTTTCCTTACGAGCTTGTCTTTGTTCTTTCAGCTGTCTCTTCCGTAACGCCTTTTGCTGGAGTTTCCGTTGCTTGGAACGTTTCTGTCAAAATACAGAAGAGACAAAACATAAGATTTTGTTCTGTAAATTAGAAGAAAACATCTCTAAAGCTGGCAAATATAAATTAACCTCTAAAATAACAAATAGGAATTCTCAGAGGTGGTGTAAACATAAACATTCATACAAAATCATACAATCATACAAAACCATATTATTTCATAATATGAAAATATCAAGACCGTTTACCACAACTGAACTATGAGGCACAACATTACCCTGTGATGTTGCATAGTCAAGTCTTGGATTGGAGGAATCTTTATTGCTGGAGAAATGTTACAATCTTACATTAACAAACCCACGATGCTGAAGAGCAAGAACTGCTCCTCTCATTCACACTTGAAATTAAAACTATCGGACAGAAGGAGTGCCACAGTACTAATTTAAATGAAACATGCTTCAGAGGGTCCCTTCTCACCAAAAATCTCATGAGACATGCTCAAAAAATAAAGATTTTAAAAGCCTGATGAAACTTCTAGTTGAGTAAAAACAAACCAAATCAAGGTTGTCTCTATTGTCCAGAAATTATGCCTAGATTAGGGTGGTGATTCTTAAACAACTTTTTTCTTAAGTTAGATGCATAAGCCCTTATTCAAGGCCACTCATCCTAAACAAAAGGAATTAGAATATCTACTACATAAAAACATCAGGCTTTCAGTTAGAAGTGATGGGAAGTTTAAACTCCTTATGTTGGTTTAGCTAGATAACTTAGTTACTCTGTTCCTTCGGGACAAACATCCCAGGTAAGATCCCACGAGCAGGCTTCAGGAGTTAAGACAGCTTAATTAATACAGATATACATAACTAGAAACTTTACTTTTGAATCCCGGATTCTTTCTGCAGCGCTTGTGGATAGATTGCTGTCGCTGTGTGCTCGACTCATGTTGGCACTGGAGTTTGAGGCGGAGTTGGCAACACTGGAGCCACTGCTGCTTGCTGAGCTGACCATGCTGGCACTGCTGCTGCTGGCACTGGCACCACTCACACCACTGGTACTGGCACAGCTGTAGCTGTTCCTCTTCCAGCTCTCCCTTGCAGACCGCTGGCGAGGTCCATGTTCCTTGATATAGTTTCTCACCTTTAGAACAGAGGCAGCAGAATTACATAGCTTGATAAATGCTGCACTGAGATACTCCTTTTCATGGAAAAAACACAATCTGCCTATTAATAATGATGAAGTTATTGGATCAGTTCAGGTAGGCTTTTAAAACATTTTCCTGTGGCTGCTTAAACCCCACGCGATGTGCAATTGCCCAGAGAACTTAACTAAGTTAACATTTGTGACATATCACTACTGCAGGAAGAAAAATAAGTAGCAAGAGTTGGGGGGGTTGCCTGTCATGTTTGTGACTATGTAACAATATGTTATTCTTCTAATACCAAACAGGAATGTCAGACAAGTTTAACTGAACTAAGTTGCTTACTTAATGCATCAAACCCCTTTATTTTGCTGGGTATACTCAAAAAAAAAGTGTGTGTAAATGAAGAAGCATTTTTCTGCTTTAAGATGACTTACAAAATGCTTGAAATATGAAACAGACAAAGCCCATAAAACAGTGAATGTTTCCATTTTCAATTTTATCTTCATCATTATCAGTGCAACGCTGAGGAGTTCAGTTTGCTTGGACACTGTGTCTATTCCAAACAACACATCTCAATAATTCAGTAACTGAGAAGACAGTAGGATGTATCTACCCTATCAGCCAGGCACCCTTCTTGGTTATAATTTGCATCTTGTAACATCCTTAAAATGCATTATTCTCTATCCCTTTCTACATGAAATTTATGGTCTTCCCCAATGAATTCCAAAGTTTTGGAGTTTTAAATGCTAGTTTACATTCAGTAAGCAAATGAAGACTCTCAGCTAGCTGATGGTCATGAAGTGGAAGTACAGTCCCATAAGCAGCACCAGGTCCACAACATAACTCATTACACACTCACCAGCTCTGGCTTAACACATAATGAGAATATACAACCAGTCTCTCATGTAAAGGTTTAATACATACGATATGCTTTTGAACTCTATTTTCTGTCACTGACAGTATTGTGCTCTACTGTCTCTCCCTACACATAATGATTATGCATAAAAATGGATCACAAGTCTATAAGATTTTGCAAGATACAATCAGATGCTGAAACTGTAAAGTCAAATGTACAAACCTTAACTCACCTGTTTCAGTTTTTCATCTGTGAGACAGTTTAATTCAATTATGAATTCACTATCTGTAGGTGAGATCTGAGCAGTAGGATCAATAATTTTAATAATATCAAGTTGCTCTCGAAGGCCCATCTCTGTACTGACTTTGCGACTCAAATATTCAATATATTCAACCTAGGACCCAAAGAAAGGCAAGTCATTTTGAAGCATTATTGATTCTAAATGAGAGACAGAAAAAAGAAAGAACCAACAGAATAAAACATGCACAAATATCATGGTTCTAGTATCCTTAAAAACTTAGGGTGAAAATTTGAGTAGGCATTAAACTGCCTTCTATAGATCCAAAGGACATGGCTTAGTTTTAAGAATCAAGTAATACTGCATAGGTCTGCATTTACACCTACAGCAAACAGGATGACCTTCAACTTTTGTCTTTTAATTGGAATTTCTTCTGTACATTGCAATTCTCACATAGGAAAAAAGTCACCTGCTCATCATTTGTCATTGCACTCCATGGAAGTTCATCAAGATTCCTATGCTTGTTTTTCTTTTTGGGAAGCAGACAGGGAGAGCTTGGAATACTCGGTATAACATCAGAAAGCACATCACTCCCACTTGTAATGTCACTGCCAGGCAACTTGTAACATGCAAAAGGAAGAACAAAGCTTTAGAATACAGTAGGCAGATTGTAAATCATTCTAACACTATTAACAATTCAAAACATACCCTCAAATTTGCAAAGCATTGATTATCTCTGTACTTTAACAAACTCTAATTACTCATAAATCTGCAACATTCCCTTGAATCTTCCCACAAACAACAAGTGCAGCAAACTCAATTCACACTATTCTGTATCAATCCTCTTTTTAAAAAGTTGTGTTTAAGAAAACAGCAGATTGAAGACACATTACAACTATTTTCCTTCTCCATCTGTGGAAACTGTCCATTACAATCTAAACCCAAATCAAATGCTCCCAGTTTGGAGCATAAATCTAGTTTAAGGAAGATAATTTTGAAGTAGGTCTGAGATTCCTAACGAACTCCATCATCATACAAGACAATTCAATTAAAATCACTGTAATTTGCCTAGAAGCAACTGAAAACTTCAGGTAGCATCATTTATACAACTGATAGGTGATTTCTTCACTTCCAGTTAAAATAGGACAGCTGGATTTTTTTGTGCTCAGATTCTGCCAGATAACACCATAAAGAGCTACAAGAAGTCTTTCCAAAATCCTACAAATCCAATCAAGTAAGTTTCTTAACAAAAGGTTGTTTTAAAAAACAAAGTAACAAAAAAGCCAGTTACCAATCAAACATACTGTCAGCAAGCTAAGGCATAGGAAATGGCTCCTTTTCAAAACAATTGTCAAGTTTATCAGAGAATTGAAATTTCACAAATCAGTGAAGCTCTGAATCTTTGGGATCCAACCTGAGCTGTTCCTACAGGCTGCATTATACAGACACACTTGTAACTTCAGTGATATAACATACACTGAGACCAGTAGCTGGACTAAACCAGTCAGAAATTCAAAGCTGATCTCAGTACACATCTCAAGTTCACTTGCATCTTCTGGGACAGGATCTCAGCTTTTTTGAAATCAGTTTTCAGTTCTTATACTATCCTTAGAAGACTCTCCGCATGCTTAGACTATGCTTTATGACAAAACTTTAAAGTATTCCCCAATAAATTCTGAAACCCTATGTCACTTATGTCAAAGTTATGTACACATTCATAGTTGATTTAAGTCTTTAATATAAAAAAGTCAATTTAGATCTCTAATATATTAAAAATGTATACCACATTTGAAAAACTGCTGAACAGGGAAGACTATCACAAACTAGAAATACCCAAAAAGGACTGCATCCAGCACAGACTAGGGAAAAGGATGTGATTCACCTTCACACTTTTCCCATCCTGGTGAGATAAAATGAGCTCTTGTACTTACTGGCATAGAAAAAAAATAGGAAAATAAGACATAAGCTATGGCAAGAGTTTGTACACTTTACCTAGAAAATTTCAGTAGGACCAGATATCTATAACCAGATTTTATTAGCAGGGTAGATCCTCAGTACAGAGGGTCTAAGCTCATGGCTAAAAGAAACACACACCAGTCCCTAAAACCAACCAACCATAATACCTAAATGTCCTTCTTTGGAGAGCTGACCTTCAGTCTCTCCTCCTGATTAAGGAGGTTGGAATAAAATTAAACAAATCATTTTTTTCTATCATTCAAGATTCAGATATGTGCTCCTATGTTCAGTAGTTACAAAGAAACAAGTGCTGAGGTCACTTGGTTTGTTCAGAAGAGGAGATAGAGGGGAGGCTTCTTAGCTGACTACAGCTTCCTCAAGAGAGGAAGAGGAGGGAGGAAGTGATCTCTTCTCTCTGGTGACCAGCGACAGGACACAAGGGAACAGCAGGATGCCAGGTCAGGAGAAGTTAAGGTTAGGTATGAGGAAAAGGTTCTTGCCCCAGAGGCTGGTCAGGAACTGGAACAGGCTCCCCAGGGCGCTGGTCACAGCACCAAGCCTAACAGAGTGCAAGAAGTGTTTGGGTAACACTCTCAGATCCAGGGTGTAACTCCTGGGCTTGTCCTGTGCAGGGCCAGGAGCTGGACTTCAGTGATCCTTGTGGGTCCCTTCCAACTCAGGATATTCTAGTCTATTACTTTTCAACTACAGCTAAATCCAGTATGCAATAGTTTACACAAAAGTTTACATTTCCAGTGGAACCAGTTTACCTGCCACTCAAACTCGCTGTCTGACCAATCCCAGTATGTGCTGATAGAAGAGGAGACATCACTGCAGACACTGCCCTCGGGGAACAGATCAAAAGAGGTGAACTCCTGGTCATCCAGCAGAGAGTAACAATCATCCTGATCCCCCACTGACACGGATGAGAACAGCTCTTCACTGCACTCTGAGCTGGCCACACTCGTCCCACAAGATGTCAAGTTCCACCTGTCAAACAGGACAACACAATTAGAGAGCAGCAAACCTTGGCATCATGTGTCCTAAGAAATTCCTTTAAGCCTTGTAAAATTATCTCCCTTTTGCTAGTCAGTGATATTATATACTGATTTTATTAAAACAAGTTATAATTATGTAAAGTGAAGTATTTTATTTTTAAATATTCTTTTAAGTACATACACAACACCAAAGGGAACACAGTGTTACAAATATGAAGGCAAAAATCCATATACACTAAGTATAATTACACCTTTATTTTGATATATTATTAGTTTCTACCCCAGGGCTATGACTCTTGCAGTATGGAAATTGCCTTTTTTATGCTGCTAGTTGGGTTTTTAAAACACACTGATCTAAAAATAAAATTTTCCATATATTGGGATATTTAAACTTCAATACAAACTGGAATAAACAGAATTAAGTAATTAATCAATTTGACTTCAGGACAAATAGAAGTCAAAAAGAAATTTCAGGTTGATAGTCCCCCACAATATTAAGGCTGAATAAGGAAACACATTATGGATCTATTACTAACAACGCTGTCAAATGTCAAAAGCATTGGACATGCTGTTGGAATGAGACAGTGCAGGATGGGGAAGTGACCTGTTTGAAAATGACACCATGCCAAAACAAAACACTTTTTTCACCTCATTATTTCATTACAAAGCTAGTTGAAGTTGTTGCTAAAGGAAAGCCATTGAGAACTCAATTTTCACGGAACAGATTTTTTACTCTAATCAGTCTCCATATCTGGACCTATTTTACATATTGGAGAAAAGTAGGTCGAGACAAATATGAGTCAGCACAGCACTGCAATATGGCCAAAACAATTTGAAAAGGGCTTCTAAAATGCACCACACAAACCCACACAATCCATTCCTGTTCCATCAGCCTGTCCACTTCAGCCTGGCTAACTAGAAAAACACTCTTCTCTCCAACTGAGCAATCCCATCACCAGAAAGGTTGGTCCTCATATTCATTAAGCTGCATTCCAGGCTGGCTAAATATGTTTGTGATGGATTCACTCCCACATCCACTTGGCCAGATGTGAATTCATCCAATGTTAAAGACATTTCCAAAACTTTCCTTTGAGTAGATTCAGGAGTTTGTCCTGCATCCCTTATAGATGTGCAATGCCTTGCTGGTACAGACTCTTATGGGCAGGGCAATCCATTGGTAATGAGCAGAACAAGACTGTGGTGACATAGGACATTACTCAACATGAATATAGTTTCAGAATCCGTGAAACAAGAATGAAAGATAGAGTGGACAAAGTTTCCAGACATATAAAAAAACAAAGGGTGAGGTACAGGGGATCTAGCATCAACAAACTACACAGATACTCCAGGTACAGGCAGCCAGCCTTGCCTTCTCATAGCCAGGGAGCTGCTCCCTGGGGTGAACTGCATTAACTACACTAAAATTACACCTAACTTTAAAAAATAGAGAGCCTTATGTGAGCATCATGGATTGAGCTGCACATCTGCAATGGCTTAATCAGTGCGAGACAGGGCACATCCTTTTCCAGAGAAGTCAAACAACCCTTTGAGATGCCTGGACTATAAACCTGGGCTTGTAAAATGAGCAAACCTGAGCAAAACACTTGGGAAGGCAACACAAGGAGAAATGTAAAAAATTAATTAAATGCAAATTTGGTGACTATCACACATTTATTTACAGATATTCTAAGAATATATCTTACTGCTCATGTCTTATGACTTAACAACTATATTATGAAAGTGCATCATGTTTGATCAAGACTCTTCATGCTGAATCATTTAAGAATGTATAATTAAATTTTCCCTTGTGAATGACATTTTTTAAGTGCAATTTCCATGACTTCATACAAATTCACTCTTCACAATTGTGTCACAGAAATACTAATAACCCATAAAAGAATCTTGTAATTCTGGAACAGGAATGCTGGAGACATGTATATTGGAGACTGAAATCTCATAGATTATTCTCAAAGAAAGCTATTGCTATATTCAAGCTTAATACTATGTATTAGCAGAATTAGGTTCTTAGGAAAGCAGGACTGCGGTTTTGATTTTACAAACCCAACTGGTATTTCCTTGCAGAGCTGTATTTGCACTTCTAGAAAAGACCTTTTCTACAAATTACAGGCAGAATAATTTGCCCTTAATTAGTAGCATGGGGTGGAAATGTTTCTGCAGGAGTCAGTGCAGTTCAAAAGCCGCCTAACTCATTCTGTATCTCTAAAGGTGTGCCTGGTGTCCATGCAAGGCCTGCCCTTAAGTCTTATAAACATACCATTCTGTAGCTGCCTACAGCCCTCAAAAACTCATAATCTGAAAAATTAAGAAACTCGGAATGAGGCTAGGAGCAACCTGATCCTAGTGAAGGTCTCCCTGCCCAGGGCAGGGGAGTTAGAACTATTTGACCTTTAGGATCCCTTCCAACAGAAACCATTTTATGATTCTATGAAAAAACACATCTTAAAAAACCGACCAAGCTCACACTGTCAACTGTAAGGTGATGAGCCGAACCCAGACCAAGCCAAAGGGAAGGGTAACCCAGCAGGGCGTGCGGCGGACACGCGGGGCACCTGCAGCCCGGCCATGCCCGGCCCGGGCGGGCCAGGAGCAGGGGAAGGATGCGCGGGCCTGCCAGGGGCGGCCCCGGCCCCGCCGCGACCCCCGCGCCGCCCGGCCCGGCCCCTGCGCATCGCCCGGCCCCGCCGCCCCGCGCCGCTGAGCGGACCTGTTGGAGTGGAAGCGGTGCAGAGGGTCGGTGCGGTGGCAGGAGGACAGCTGGCAGCCGAAATCGCTGACGTCCAGGCAGCCCTCCTCGCTCAGGCTAAAGCTGCCGCCCCGCGGCGGGTGCTGGTGCGAGAGCAGCGGGCACGGCTCCTCGGGGGCCAGGAACTTCTCGTACGGCTCCTCGGTCATGGCGGCGGGAGCGGGGGCGGCGGGAGCGCCTCAGGCAGCGGCGGGAGCGCCCGGGGCACACAGCGTCGGCGGCGCCGCCATCAGCGGCCGGTCCCGGGACGCGCCGCGCCGCCGCGGCCGCTCCTTCCGGCGCCGCGCCCCCACAGCGCCCCCTGCCGCGGGGAGGGCGCGCGGCGGGCGGGCGGCGCGGCCATGGCGGCCGGGGCGGCGCAGGGGCTCGGCGAGGGCGGCGGCGGCCGCGGGTTCCTGGGCCCGCGCGTGCCGGCCGAGGTGGAGGCCATGGCCCGGGGAGTGCAGGACGTGGGCAAGGAGACCTTCCGGAGGCTCCTCAAAGGTAGGGCCCGTGCGGGGCCCGCGGGGCGCCGCCCGAGCGCGGAAGGGCCGCGGTGGGGTCCTAGCCAGAGCCCATGGGCCGGAGCCGCGTTCCACGAGGAAGCCGTGGATCCTCACGGAAATCTAAGGACAGCTATTGGAGGGCTTCCAAAGGAGACCAAATATGGTGAAAGGCCTTAGGTGGGAAGCCATACGGACTGAGGTCACTTGGTCTGTTCGACCTGGAGGGGACTGAAGGGAGACCTCAGAGCTGGCTACAACTTCCTCACGAGAGACAGACCCGGATGCCCTCTCTGGTGACCAGTGACAGGACACGAGGGAACAGCATAATGCTGTGTCACGGCACTTCAGGTTAGGTATCAGGAAAAGATTCTTTCCCTAGAAGGGGTGGGGCACTGGAACAGGCTCCCCAGGAAAGTGGTCGCGGGACCAGCCTGACAGAGCTCAAGCAGTGTTGGGACAATTCTCTCAGGCACATGATAGGATTCTTGGGGTGTCCTGTGCAGGGCGGAGTTGGACTTGATGATCCTTCTGGGTCCATTACAACTCGGAATATTCTGTGATTCTGTGACAGCTGGAGAGCTGCAGCTTCCTGGGGCACTTCCCATTGCTTTTCCCAACAGGAAGCTAGAGCTGAGCTTTAAATAAAATGAGGAGCTTGACTCATTGTATTCTACAATTCTGAAATCTGTGATAATGAGGAACAGAGTTCTCCAGCTGTGGATGGCCCCCAAAGTCAGCTGAGTGCTGTTAAAGTCATTTCTCTCTCATCTCTGTGTCCCAGAGCCAGCAGGCCAGTCACTGTCAGGTTGTGTGTGGCAGTCAGAACTGTGGGCATCTACAGAACGTGCACGACACAATACAGCAACCCCAAGATGCAGGTGTCCTACTGAAGTTGAGGCTGTAAGATTGACAAGGATTGATTTAATTTTTGTCTGTAAGGCTTCTCCTGGTGGTGAGAATTTTCTCAAGGCACCTTTGACCATCAAAATCAAGAGTTACACAGCTGAGTAAATTCGGGTATGTAAAACAATAGTGGAATAATGGAATAGTTGATGAGCCAAAGCACAGCTTGCTGGCGGGTAGCTGCTGCCAAGTGTGGTATGACCCTGGCATGTTCTCTCAGCTAACATCTTGTCAGGGATTTTATTTTTTATTTAAAGGACTCAAAACATCTGGTAGCTGGTTTGTCTTTAAAAGTGTTGCTGCACAGTAGCAGAAATGAACAATGTATTCAGGGGTTCCTTGTAATACTTGAAATAATAAAGCTGTGTATAGGCAGAGATATTTAGGACAGAAGTCAATACACATGTTGAACAATATTTGCTGTCTAGTGCAGGGATAGAGACTGAAAAGCCTTATCCATGCCAGGAAGCCTGACTGTCTCGGTTTAATTTTGGTGTAAATTATCACCTGCTTTCAGGTGTGCAATAAATGCTTCCTACCATAGCAGGGGCAGACAGTCCTCCAAACTGCCTGGAGCCAGGGCAGTGACCCCAGTGCAGATCCTCCTGGAGCAGGTGGGCACAGCTTCCCTCTGGTTATGCAGAGCTGGCACAAATCTCCCCTCACTGTATGCTCTTGCTGGCCTGTGACTCACAGTTTGCAGGGCTGCAGTTTTTCCTCTGAAGGTTTTGTAATCTTTGAATTTCAACACTGTATATCTGCATTGCTCTTCACTTGGGTCAAGTTCATTTTTTGAGGCTGTTGCTGTTACTCTACTGCTAAACAAAGACTAATGTAAAAAATGAGATGTAGGTTCATGTGCCTGGTCAGTTCATGATGTAAAAACTGCATGTTAACAGTATCTGAGAATTATTCAGACAGTGTTATTGCAGGCTCTGCTACACTGTCTCAATGACTGATATAATTTTTGTCTGTGAGGCTTCTCCCTGTGGTGAGAATTTTCAAGGCACCTTTGACCATCAAAATCAAGAGCTACGCAGTTGAGTAAATTAAGGATCTTTCTTTGCTTTCTTGTTCACAGTCACTGTTAATGCATTGGAAGGAAAAGACTGCAAGGAATCTGTCAGGCTGATTGCAGAAAGTGCTAATCTTTCAGAAGAGCAACTTGCTTTCCTCATTTCTGGCATGTACACCCTCCTCCGAGAAGCATTGAGACTCCCCTTATCAACTTTCAAACAAGAAGTAAGTTCTGGGAGTACTTGGAACCCTGATAAGGTAAAAGCTGCGTCAGACAAGTCATCATCTAAATCTCATTTGCCTGGGTGGGAAGCTGCACATAAAAATGGTTCTCCAAGTTAAGGTTATTGGAAGAAACTGTTAAAAATCTGGAACTTAATATTTCACTTGTTGGGTAGATTTAGAGTAAGCTTTTCGAAAAAATATTTAAGCTTTAGGAAAAAGATTCCTGTATCTACTGGTGCTTCAACATCTTGTTTGCTGTGTATGTTTGTTTTCACTTATAAATTAAAAACACCAAAGAAAGCATAGCAAAATGTTATTTCATAGGCATCAACACTCTTTCTAACTGGGTGTTCACACATACCACTCATTTTTGTCCACGCTTATAGTTTCTCATATTTGTTTAGCTCCTCTGTTCATATTTCTGCCATAGAGGAAGGAAGGTCTTATGGCCAGAACATTATAGTGGAATTTGGAAGAAAGTTCAATTTCCACTTATGCTGTGCATGTTTGGTGTGAATATGTACATGCCTGCCATGTTCCCAATCCCTATCCCCTTCTTCATGGCTATTTTCTTCATTTTCCATGTTCCTTTACCTTACAATTTTCTCATTTTCATGTGAGTGAACCACTTCTAGGTTTCCAGTAGCTCTTGTTTAAGACACAGCTTCATATTTACCCAGGCATACTGGGAAAGCTTCCATATTGCAGGAAATGTAGTGGAAGTATTCTTTTAATATACAGACCTTATTTTTTGCCATTTACTTTTTCTTGTCATAGTTTAAACAGGTTACTGCAAAATGTATTTGAGAATAAGGGCACATAGTTAATCTAAAACAAAAATGTTTCTGGATAGCTAAATAAAAGAAGTGGCAGAGACATTGTTTTGAAAATTAAAGGCTTCCAAGATATTTAGGTCTTTAAATCACAACTTGATTGAACACTTCTGAAAATTCTTTTCAATATATTACTAGTAATTTCAAAACTACTGGCACTCAAGTCTAAAATTTTTGGGGAGAGATACCAAATAAGTAACCACTGTTGTTTCAGTAGGTAAGAAATGATAATTTAAGGCTATATCATGTAAAATTTCATCTTCCTTGTCTTTTTAGGTTTTTAAAGAAGACTTGAAGGAGCTCAGGTATGCCTGTTTACACCAGTTCTTTTAATGTTTGTTTTTTCATGGCTTTTGTGTAACTGCTTCCCCAAATTAACTTTTTTACACAAAAATGTTGGTATAAAAATTAGCTGTAAATACCTCATAATGCATCTGTTGCCAAACATCATGTAAAGCCAGAGGAAAAAAACAGGTGTTGTGTAAGACTTGATTTAGCACTGAGCATGAACAGTTTTATTTCACCTGCTGAGGAAAATGGTCTGATTTAGTCTGTAATGTAGGTTATGCAAATGTGAGTGACCTTCTCTTTGCCATCCCCACCTTGCCCTGCAATAGTTTTTTAAGTGTTTGGTAAGACAGTAGTAGCATTTCAGAAGCTAAGAACTGCCCTACTTCTTTCCTTCTTTGAAAGGTCAATGATAAAATGCTCATGAAACCCTTACTACCATGTTCAGCCATGATTTCTCCTGCCCATTACCCAAGAAATCATGACCTTTGTTACAGCCTTTTCCAAAATCTCTATCAGTCTTCCATGAGTATCTCTGAAGGGATCATATTCTAAAAGCTAGATATCAGATGCTAATATTTATAGGTTTTCCCTTATTTCTATATTCAGTAGCAATGGGAGAATAACAGCAGTTCATGTTTTCTTCTGTAGTGAAACCTCTGAACCAAGACTTAATTATTTTAAAACACTATTTTCACACATTTCTTTAACATTCTGATTGCTACCTAGGACAAATAGATATTTCTAATTCTGTCTTTTTTCATCCTTACTTTAACCTGTACATCAGCTTTCTCTTCATGAGCAGTTAAGTCATAAGCATGATTTACTTTATGAGCAACTTCAGGCAAACTAAAACTGCAGATGTAATCAGGGTGTAATGAATGAAAGGTGTCATTTGGGCCATAGTGAAAGGTGCCTTACAAGTCGATACAGTTTTGTCTGCAGCTCGGTGCTGGAGTTTGGCCTGCCTTTTGTCTTGAGAGCTCAAGTGCAAGCTGCTGCCTGTGCCACAACATGAAGTTCACACCCAGGTTAAAGTAGGTCAGTAAGAAACTGACTAATTGCTTTTGACCCAGTGGAAGCTGGTGTTTTTTGAGGTGCACACAAAATGTACCAAGTTTGATTACGGAATAACAAAGAATACTAAAAGCTCCATGCCAAATTCTCTGGGATTGGGTGAATATTCCTCTTTTGAGCACTGGAGAAAGTTGGTGTAGGAGTGTCAGAAGTCACTGTCTGGGCTGTCTGTTTCTAGAAATGCAGACTCCCAGCTCCCTGTTCTTGTAATTTGACCACACTTTAATGGCTTACACTTTTGTAGGTGTGTTTGAGGTTTTTCTTCTCACATAATGGTTTGTTCATACATTTTACTCAGACACTTTTCAGTCTGGATGATCTTTTTTATATCTTGATACATCTTTTTATCTTACTGTTCTGGTTAATAAGGCTGATCTAGCAGCAATAGTTAGGCAACTGCATTTGTGCTGCTTGCAGACTTGAGTGTTTTATGTGATGCTAGTTGCTGCTATGCTCTCATTATTCTTATTATTCATCTCATTCTCAGTATTTGGACTCTTCCATCTCTGACTGTCTTACTTCCTGTGAGTAGCTCTCTTCACCTTGTGGCTAAACTTTTAGAAGACTAAATAGTTTATTCTATTCCCAAGCATAGAAATTTGGTAGCACCTTCATTTCCTCTGGGAAACATAATTTCCTATGTTTCCCAGTGGGCTTGTGTTTGGAGATGAACTACTTGCTTGTTTTCAAAGCACTTTCTAATTGCATTTAGACACTTAGCTTGCTGCATTGGCCATCCTGTGATCAAAAAACATGACTTTGGTTGAACAGTGGTGTCTTGGCATTATTGGCATCCAGTGTTTGGGTAGGTATTTTGCCTTTTAAGGCAGAAAAGGCGCCTATAGACCTCTTTTTTGTTCTCTATTCTTTTAAAATGTTTGAACTCTGTGCTATGTAACTTTTTTTTTCACTTCTTGTATTTTATTTTGTTTCTTTTGGTGAACCTAAAGCTTGAGCTAATTCTGCCATATAATATCTTGTAATTCTCAATTTTCTGGTGAGGTACCACCTCCTTGATCTTGGCTTCTAGTTTTGATGAAGAGAGAGAGGCTGGAATATATGCCCACTTCCAATCAACTAGATTAAAAGAATTGTAATTCCCTATTTCTTAGCCTAAGTGGCTGAGCCAGTAGGAGTAAATTCACAGTAAATTGTGGGTGGCTTTTTTTCCCTTCCCCTCACAGATTATTTAATAACTTTATGACTCAGGCAAATAACATGGGATTGAGACATCTTCACGCATTTTCTGCCCTTTGAGTTCCTTCCTCAGAAGGTTCCACTGAAAAGTGATTGCCATCTGTAGTTCAGGCTGTACTGTGCCATGTTCTATCTTATCTGTGTTGTGTGTGACTGGCCTCATGTTGGCTTGAGCCAGGAACAGAATTTTCAGCAAAATCATTGGCTGCAGGGCAAAAATAATGCAAACCCAAAGGTGGTGTTAATGCTTCTGTTTTAGTAATGCTCTTGGATCAAGTGTTGTGGTAGGTATCATCATAATCATATTACAGCCCACTGTCTCCAGCTATTCCACTACATGGTCAGGATATCCAGTCAGTGTCAGGATTGGCTAAATAATACACTTACATGAAAGTATAAGTAATGTTTGCAGAAATAGTCTTGTCTCATCTGAAAGACAGACTCTTGCAGCCAAAAAAGCACTGTTCCAGTGCTTGCTAAAATGAATTTCTTTTTATCCAAGCACTATTTAAAAATGTGGTTTAACCCCACTTCTTCCTTTATGAATTCAAGCTGTAGTAATTGCTGTTTCATCTTCCCACTGTGTGAGTTGATGAGTTGTTTTTTCTCTGGTCATTAGACACTGTAAGCTCTTTAGGACAGATAACTTCCTTGTTTGCTTTGATTTTTCTTTGATACACTGCTGTGTGTCTCGAGCCACTGGTGAGTAATGTCTCTGGGCACTGATTCATGGTGAGTGCTGGATTTAACTGTGGCAGCAGCAGCAGTGACTTCTCCCCCTTGTCCAACCTGCCTCTCTGTAGGAGGTTACTGTCCCTGTGGCAAAGGCAGCTGAATGGATAGTGTTTTCTCTGTGGTCTTTGCAATTCACAGCCTGATCTATTGAACTGCAAATCAACAGTAGTTTGTTTGTAAGGCAACAGCAGTGTCAGAGGGATGGTGAAGGAGTGGAGAGGTGTAGGTAGATGGAGTGTATTAATCTCTTCAACCAGTCCCCATGTATGCTCCTTTTGTAAGTAGTCTTGGCTAAAAGGGCTTCTGTTTGAATTTTGAGGAGGCAATTCCTTCTGTCTTCATTACACTTGAGGTGAAAGTGAAATTAAATGTGTAAGTTTGGGATTTTTGAAAGCATGCATTGCTGGCCTGCCTTCTACACTTGTCAGAGCCATCACTAAAATTTTTCTTGACTTTACTGAGAGAAGTTAAGCAAATACCGGGTTCTTTTGAAATACTGTGTTGTCATACAAGATAGGGTGAGAAGATGTAGTACAGTTTTTAGTGTTCTTGATATATAAACGTAAGTTGTCCTTTTGAGAGCCCTGACTGAATCAATACTGAAGTGCTTACGTAAGAGGTAGCAATTTTAAGCAATGGAAGATGGAAAATGTTGACATATTTTTTGTGTTCTGTAATAGATTTAAGGTTTTTTCAGAGAAGGCCATATAACTGTGGTTACAAAAAAAACCTAATTGTTTCATTTTGCTCTTCTCTTTCAGAATACCAGAAGATTTCATTGTAGACTTTTCCAGTGTAGTCTTTGGTAACAGGTTAGTGTCTTCATTGTGCAGACAGCAGGGCTGCACAGAGCTCTGCTGACACAAATCCTTGGTATATTGAAGGAACAGCAATATTTTCCAAATTAATGAGAACAAGACTTGTCCCATTATTTTGATTCAGCACAGTATAATGTCCATCATGCATGGCAATACATGCATTAAGTAGCTTTCTTGCCAATTTTCAGTTTTTCTGTGTTCAGTTTTTATAATGTTCTATAGACTGTGAAGTGTATCAATACCTACAGATGAAGAATGCAGTGCAGAATTACTAATTTTTGCCATCATTATCATTGCAAATTATAGCAAAAGAAAGAGGCTACATAAGCCCTCTACATGCTCTGGTTTATGGCAGCTTTCTCAGATAGTATTTCTCAAGTCTTAATGTACAGTTCAATTGGGAAGTCACACTGAGTGACTTGATGACAACACTTATGAGATATCAAGTGCTCTGCCTGCTGTAATTCACTTTTTAAGCAACATTCCTTGGTAACTCTAGAGGAAGTTCTAAATTGAGAGCTTTTTGAACAGCCTGTCTCTTCTGTCCATTCTTGGGATTCCCTGTTTCTAGAAGTTTCTCTACCCAACCGTAATTAGCCTATTTTGCATCTAGAAATTCAAAATCTTGAACATTTTGAATATGCAAACTTGTGAAGGGCCGGGAGTCGGACTCCGATGATAATTGTGGGCCCCTTCCAACTCAGGATACTCTGTGATTCCAGTTTTCCTTCTTGAAACTTGAGGTCACTCAGCACATAACATCACTAACCCAATGCTGTTCCAGATTCTCTGAATGGAATCCCAGTAATCATAGTTGTGGTTTTTCAGTTACCCTCAAGGGTCTGAGTGCTCTTACCAAAGCTAAAAATATTTTTCATTTCTTTGATTAAGATCTTGGCTTACAGCTAAAGGTTCCTGGAGTAAAAATAAATTCAGTCTTCTCATCTTTTCTTTGCTCTTCTGTTTGAATTATAGGTGTTAAGAATGCAAAATTCATGGTTGCAAAGTGGAAATATTGTTTGCAGTAGGGAAGGAAGATAAATTTAGATGTAATTTGAAGCATGCATGATTGTCTGTTTTCTACTGTGAAATCACGATGCTGAAAAATTTAGCTTTTTCTCATTTTGAAAGCTGTGATTATCCAGTGTAATCTTGCTCTGTGTTTTGAGATCAGAGAACACCTCAGGTTTGATTTTTAGACAGATCTGCTTTTACAATCTTAAATGTAGCACTGAATCATACATATGCGTATTGAGTTGTAAATATATATGTTTGTGATGGTAAGAGATGCATTAGCATGTGATCAAAAATTCAGTAATTCAGTATGAGCTAGATAACCCAGAAAAATCCATTTTTAATACTTCTCCTGGCATCTTATTTTTAGAGTTCTTTTCACTAAACAACAGCTCTGAAGTATTTGGCATTTGTATTTGTGTCCCCACAGTTCCACCAAGCTATGTAGACTGAAAGAAAAACTTGCCACATTGGCACCATCAAATAACTACATGAAATTAAAACTGTTTTTTAAGGGAAAGGATAACACTAACTCCTCCCTCTCTGAATGTTTATAATAAATGCACTGCTTTGTTTTTCTAATGGTGTAGCTTTACCAGGAGGGTGCATTCTGTGTGCCATTTTTCAACATTTCACATGTACAACTTTGTTCAGCCTTGCAGTTCAGTGGCCTGCTAGGCGTGTCTTGTTATGTGTATAGGGAACCATCCAGAACTCGTCTTTAGTTTTGATACTGGTAGATCAGCTGCTGCTTCAAATTCTCTAATATTTCATTTTCAAGTTGCATCCTTTAGCAGGTGATATTATTGTCACAGTGTATCATCCTTTCCACCATAGCTTGTATGGTCTTTAGGATGGTCTCTACCTGATCCATGGTCTTTTACTTGTTCTGACTTCTGCCCTCTGCACAATGTGCTGACAGTATATTGCAGCTGCTGGCACGAAGTGTTTACAAAATGTAATTATAGGGTATAGGTTTTGGATGTAAGATTAATTGAGTCTTTTCTGCTCCATTTTGCTATTCCTCTCAGAAATCAATGGCTTGATTAGCAGCCTGTGTAACTTCTGTACGCATGTTGGCCACTATGCACATTCTGTCATCTTTACAGGATTCTTGCAGTTCCCATTATGGTCTTGCTCAAGCTGGGAAGGTCCTGACAGAAGGTTAACTAAGCTACGGAAGCTGTGACTCTTCCTGGGAGAATGGTACAGAAGTGCAGTCCTGACCAGAAATAAAGCTTTGTGTTTGACCACAGAAATGGCATCTCTCGACAATATTTAGAAGCTTCCCCTCTGTTTGGGAGGTCACCATTTCTGACCTTTCCCACCACTGCTAAGTAGAGTATATTTCTGTTTCTAAAGCTCCTTTCTTCCCCTGGAGTGCTGGTGCTGCACTGAATGGACTGACTTCCATTGATGGGAGTTAACATGTCTTAAGGAAACGGTAGCAGTGTGGCTATTTTTAGGGAGTCTCCAACTTAAGCAATACTCTGGCAGCAGCTCTTCACTGAGGGAAAGGCCTGTTCTTACTGTTTAATCCTGCTAATGACTGTTCTAGACTCCAGCTCCTCATGGCTGCACCCAGCTGTGGTGACCTACTTCCTATCCAGGAGCTGACAGTAAGAACCAGCTGATCTACTTTTTTTGCTCATTCCTTTACCATGCTATTAGGAATGTGTGTCACTTCTGACACCCAAACCTGACCCAAACCACCTCCCCCCTACCAAAGAGATAATTTCTTTCTTATATCACCTTTGCAAAATGCAGGATGCTTGGAGGATCTCAGCCTGTGAGTCCTGTGTACCTTATCAGATCATTAATCTTTCTGGGCAGTTTCTAAAGGCCCAGCTAACTTGCACACAAGAATCTGAGTAGTGATGTTAGACTGCCATTCCTACAGTGCTTGATTTGTTCAGAGAGGATTCCTTTCTGATGCAAAGTCTGTAATTAGATTATGTCTAGCACCATGGATAAAGGATGTAGTGTTTCTTATCCTGCCCTTAGTGGAAGTACTGGAGTAGCCTTGAAATGTACCATAAATAAATTCCAGGGACATGGGATGCTTACAGAGAAAGGAAGAAAAAAAAAAAAAAGAGAGTAACACAAAGTCCTTAAAAATGAATGGTTATTATGTATTTCTATCGGATTTGTCATTTAGTTATCCAGACCTCAGGATGCTATTAAAATTTTTTAAATTGTCAACCATCTGAAGTTTAATTGCTGTTAACTGTATTTCCGCTCAGAAATAAACTAGGACTTGATCAGCCTGCTTCTTCCTGCAATTTAAGTAACAAATTAAATTCTTGGCTTCTTACACAATAGACTAGACAAAAGTCTTGAAGGCTGTGCTGGAGTTCGCAGTGAACGTTATGTAAAGAACTTGAAGTTTGTAAATTATATTGGATCAGTAAGAACCATTGTGGGGTTTTTCTTAAGTATGCCTCAAAATACAGTCAATACACTAATGTTATTATGTTTTAAAACGTTGCTGCATGCCAATACTAGATGTTTTTGCTGAAGAAGAACAGTGACCTTATGCAACTGTTTTGCCTAAGTCATCTGTCTTGTCTCTGCTTGCTTGTTCCTGTTGGATTTGCATGAAGGTAAAGATATATTTGCAGGTCCCTTTCTATGCCTCACAGTTCCATATAATTGAAATAACAGGTGTGCCAGCCACCACAATGACTCTTACTAAACTTTATAGAGACATCAGTTTGCTAGAATTACACAGTCACTTGGTCTCTTTTTTCAACATGGACCATAGTTAAGCATAGAAAAAGGGGATAATCCAAGCACAGCTGTCTTAAATCCACAAACACTCCACTTGTTCAGACCTCTTTAAGTGAGGACAGATGGAGAGAAACAAAATCCGGACAGGTTTGTACTGAGGAATCATATTTTCTCTTTAGATTGTTTCTTCTTTTATGAATTTACATTCCAGTCTCTTACTTCTGATTCACTCTTCAGGCGTCCCACTTCCGAAGGCACAGCTCTGATACAAAGAAGTCGACTACCAAGCATCCAGGACTTCAAGTGGAGAGTGGATGTTGCTATATCTACAAGGTATAAAAGAGTATCATGCACATCCTTAGAATTACCTAAGATAAAACTGATTTCTTGTGCTGCTTAAACATTTTAATGGGGTAAAAATGTGCCATGCTATTAGGGATTGGCAGTTAGCATTAAACAGCAAGATATAGGTGGAATTTTCTGAACAGTGTAGAGGTCAGTGTATATACACTTCACTGCTGGTTACATTTCACTCAAAGTTTGAGTCTATTTTTTTAAAACTTAATAGAGATGATGCACATCCACAGGTGCTGGTGATGATGGCATAAATTAGTCACATTGAGCCTCAAGCAGCTAGGCAAGCTCTTAGTTTTACTGAAACAGAGAAGGGTATTCATCTATGCAACTTCCTAAGAAGACTGTCTTAATGCACATGTTAAATGACTTTCCATCTCTTGTACTCTGCTTCTACAAAGAGAGGTTTCAGGACAGCACCTTTACACTGCCATAGTTATGTAACTGGTCATTGAACTACCTCCTAGTTTCTTTCACAACAGGAGTAAAAGCCTTTGAGATCGTCCTGCCTGTGCCTGCAGTGAACAGCTTCTTACCATCTGCCACAACAGAGGCATGTGGGGGATGGATCTTTGGCTAGAGCCAGAAGGAAACAGAAACCTGTTGTCTGTGCTGTTTCATCTCTTGTCTAGTTCTAAGACAGACCAAGCTGAAAGAAATTAGATGATCCAGTATTTGTTAGTAGTGTAAATTGTTAGCATGAGTGACTTCATGTTGTGTGCCTGAACCTGCATCTGGGAGAGAGTGCTGTCTCTGCTGCCAGAGAGGCCCGTGGCTGATCAGGGATTGTCTTCCTGAAATCAAGAAAAAAGGCTCCTAAGAGAAAATTGGAACGGCCACAAGCTACTAGTCCAGGTGACTTTCTGATAAGAAGTGCTGTAAGCACCACACAGGTATCACTCTGTAAAAAAAGAATCTATACTGATAAGTGAGCAAAATGTCCAGATAAACATCCTCAGACACAGTGCTTGCAAGCTGAAAGCAAATGCTATGATTTGTTTTCCAAACAACATAGGAGCAATACATCACTGGTTTTTGTTTTCCTTCTTTTTAGTTTTGTTTTTAGTTAATCTTCCCCCTGGGATTTCTTGTTTATCATCCAGCAACAGCCTCTGCAGGGAGGTATGGCAGCTTTGGCCTGTCGTGCCTGTCTGTACCTGAGCAGGCTTTGGCAACGTCAGTTGATGGAAGCTGCACAAGAGTGACTCATTTCCCTTCTTTGGGTCATCAAATAAAATAACACACAAATTTAGGATGAAGTATGGAAGAGGTTGATTCCCCAAATGAGGTGGCAGTTGAACGTATGAAGGGAGGGAAATGATTAATGCAACATGGTAAACTGCATAAGAAAACTGCATTATTATTAGCAGTACTTGGTCACTTCTTATTCCCTATCATAGTTCCACTAAAGCAATTATTTAAAATGAAAATGCTCCTAAACTTGCAGTTACTAAACTATTAATGAAATGTTAAGTTTCCATACTGAGGTAAATTGGACAGAACTGTTGTGTTCATGAGTTTTCAGCCAGACTTTGTGACTGAAATTACTCATGTTCTGTGTAAAGCCTACATGAACATCTAAAATTGTTAATGTGCAATGCTGTACTCAGCACACCGATGATCTCTACTGCTGTAATACTAATGATGTAAATAATTTCAGTTCACTGGCCCGTGCACTCCAGCCATCCATTCTGATGATGATGAAGCTTTCAGATGGGACAGCTCATCGCTTTGAAGTAAGTCTGATTGCCATAATAAATAGTAAGGAAACCACTTCCAGTTTTATTTAGAAAGTTGAATTATTACTTAAAATATCAAAGCTTTTGTAAATTATATGTTACCATTGGTTGGTTTGCTTTAGAATCCTTCATATTCAATGTAGCCCTATAAAATATTTAATGAAATACCAATCAAAATCATTTCATACCTTGCTCCTACACATGTTCTGCTGAACTGCAATTTATTAGAAGAATATTAATTACTGGAAAGCACTATTACATAATATTTGGTTTGATTAAAAGTTATGGGGTTGTTATGAACTGTAACCTTCAGACCTGATGGTGGCTCTTGAGGGCAGGAAAATTATTGGGGTAGCTTAAATGATGTATGACACACTTATAAACCTTCTGCATTTGGCAGAGAATGGTAACATTCTTTTATGTGGCAGAGGTAGTTTTATTCTTTTTCTTCAGAACTGTTCTGGCTGCTAGAAGGTAAAAAAACCCTCTTTGCTTGTTATAGGATTAGTCAGTGGCAGTATTTATGACACTGTACCTAAAGGCTTGCCAGAAGATGGCATAAACTCTTCCATAATTTTAACCTTTGAAAAGGAATGCTATTTGTTCTATAAATAACGTGGTGGTGCATACAGGAATTCAATGCACAGCAGGCATTGTAACATTTGAACTCTGTACTGATTTTGGCTTCAGTTCCCTCATTAGTAGTAGTCTGGAAGAAGCACCAAAGCCTTGTGGGTTGAAAGAGGTGAACTGATTTTACTGTTAAATTGTTTTGCAAGAAAGCATCTACTGAGGAAGGCATGAATTCTGTGCTACATTGCAAACTGTTGAGGGTGTCACTTCACAGGAGATAAAATTTAGCCCTCTGGACAGTCCAGTTCAGAGCATCCCATACACTGTATTTCAGGACTTCCATTAAGTGGAACTTAAATGATACCATGAACTTCAGGTTAACCCTTTACAACAGGGTAAGTTTCACTTGTGAGAATAAAATCTAGTTTGTACTCTATTCACACTATTTCCTGGCATATAATGTCAAGTGGTGATCTTGGTGCCATTGTTTCTGACTGTTTTAGCTTGATTTTAGGGTTTGAGGTGTTTTGTTTTTTTTTGTCGTTGTGGGTCTGTGGAAGACCCTGTGTTATTCTGCAGTGGAGATGTGTTTGTCCAGCACACGCAGGAGTGCAGATATCTGATAACAAACAGTGTGCTTCTCTTAGAATCAGCTCTTTGCTGTTGCTGCTGCTTGGATCTGAATGCCAAGGGTGTGACTGCAAACAGGATTTCTATAGCTGATAAGTGGTCTTCCCACAGTTAGTATCTCTTTGGGATAAACTTGGTTTTGGTTCAAGGTATCATATGGAAGTAAATATAGCCTCAGATCTTCAGTTTTCCTTTATTTGAACACGTTCAGAATGTCCTGCTAACTCAAAGGGCTTATGTAAGATGGTAAGTCCAGAAAATAATTCTGTTGTGTACAATTTTGAAATGTGTATAGAAGTTACACTCCTTGGTCTCCATTTGGTGTTTTAATCACAGTGTGACTTCTGACTGATTTTTTTTTAAAAAAAAAAAGCAGTGGGAATTGCAGCATTTTGAGTCTTGTTGTATATATGTCAAAAGTGAAAAGGACGTGGTGCCTTTTTATGCCTTTCTGATGTATGTGGAAAATGCAAATCAGGTGTTGGATTCCTCTCATATAATTGGTATCTGTGCTACAGTGGGCAGAAGGATGACAAGGGTCTCTGCCAAAAGAACTGCTGTCTTCAGTGCAGTCAAAGGAGTAAATTAGGCAGTGCTGTGCAGACTGTGTGGGACCAGGCAGACTGCACTGGGCACTTGTGTGAGCATGTGTTTGTGCACTGCCCCAGTGCCACCAGTCTGTGTCACCAGTCTGTGCCTACTCTCGGTTGAGGGCCTCTGTCTTCATAGATAAGATTTCCTTCCACTTACAATTTCTTGGGCTTGTAAGGAGAGCCCATGAGTCTCCTGCACAGTTGAAAATGCTTTTTATATTTAATCCTAAATCTTTTGCCTTCCACATGTAGTGCTCAGTGCCATTTGCTCTTGAGTTTGCTGCCAAGTCTCTTGCCTCGAGTCTCAATTTCTTTCTCTTGCAAGTTTGGACAAGCAGAGTATCTTGAATTTGTTGCTTGAGAATTCTATAGTCCATGACCTTCCAGATGTCTTCCCTTCCAGTCCATGACTTTTATATCACCCAAGCAGCTCTCAGTTTACATCCTCAAGTATTTCCTTTTTCTCATCAGGCAATACAGAAAATGTATCATGTAGGTGTTATTTCTGGTTTTTCCCACTCTCCTTTTCCACATAGATTTAGTTGGATTAACTGAATTTTATTAACCTTAAATCCTTTGTCTTAAGTCTGCAAAAAATAAGTTTTTTAAGAGAGATTGTCCTTACACTGCAAAATGTTCCGTGTCCATAGGCATGACCTAGTCAAGGTTCCTGCGATGTCCCGTGTTTTCTAACCTGAGTGTTCTGTTTCAGGTGCCAGTTGCCAAGTTTCAAGAACTGAGATACAATGTTGCCCTTATACTGAAGGAAATGAATGATTTGGAGAAGAGGAGCATACTGAAGATCCAAGACTAAACACTTCTAAATTGAGAGTTTATGGAAGAGATCTGAAACCCTCAGCATGTTTCGTGAATGCAAAACAGGGGACCATCACCACTTTGCCTCTATGAACTTCAATGTGGCATTTATGATGTCTGCTGTAAATATTTTTTTCCAATCCAAGTGTTAAAAGCTCAAACTCTTTTTGTAAGACTTAAGAAAAACAAAACATTTATCTATGAAAAAGTATAATGTTGTTTGTGAACATTTTTGCATGATTCATCAAAACTTTTTTTTAAATAACTGTCTTAATAGATGTAAGAGTCATTTATTTCTGATTATGATTCATAACTCTAATTTTTTTTTAAAGTGTGCTACCGGAAGCCCTAGCAATGTGTATGTATCACAAGAAAACTCTGCAATATTTCAAATTAAAAAAAAAAAAAAGATAACAAACCCACTCCTGCCTTCTAGTATGACAAATGTGATCTTGAGTTTTGCATAAAATTGTTGCCTCGTTTCTTACTATGTGACTAAGGTTTAGCTGTGGATATTTAAAGGCTAATTTGGAAGAAAATTGGAAGTCTGTGGATCAAGAAAGAAGTATCGTCTGGGTTTCCAGGATTAATTCCATTGAATTACTGCAGTGGGAAGGTGAAATCTGTTTCTTTATCTGGTTTATCAGAATGGGCTAAATAGTAGTGATCTCATAGTTTTGTAGCTGGAAATGCCTGCCTCTTGTTTCATGTGTTGCCTGTGTGTTTGATTCCATGAAATCAGCTGACACGACTAGGCAGAAACCTCTGACCCTGCAGTGGTGGTGAGCAGCAAGAGGCAGTGATCTTGTAACCCACTACAGCTCATCAATTGTGCAGGCCAGATCCCAAGATGAAGGGGCTGCCTACATCCTCTGGGATGGAAGTCACAGGTATGAGGATATCCAAGCCCCTGGACTGAAAGTACAGTTAAGCACAGGCTGAAGTTTCCTGAGTTGCTCAGGCATTTGGACTGGATGGTCATTGTAGGTCCCTCCCTTTGTACTGGAAGTCTATTCTAAGTTACTCCTTTGGCCCATGAGTTTACCTTGGAAGGACTCCCTTAATGTGAAACATGTTTCAGGTCTCATTTAAATGCTGTGGGACCACATATATGTCTGTAAAAGCTTTGCTAAAAATGGAATAATGCCTCACTCCTTGCCTGAATGAATTTTCCCCAGCAGCAAAGGGAGGCTGAGAGCAATTGCCCAAAGACCGCAGGCTGTGGCTCTAGGACTCAGTTTGTCAGAAGTCAGATGTACTTTAGAATGCACATGCCACTGCTACTGTTAAGCATTGGCTTATTCTAGTTAATTGCAGGGTTTCTATCACAGTAATATCACCCATATTTGTGTCTTTTATGTTTTTTGATTGTAGAACTTGCCTTTAACTTCTTCACCCCCTGCAGAAAAATACTGAAATTAAAATTGTGGATTAAAGAGGCCTTTTACACTCCCACAGATGTTTGTGTAGGAAAGGATGACTTGCCTTTTGGATTTAAAAAAATCACAACAAGCATAGTAAGACTTATTTGTCATATTTCTAAAGAGGAGACTTCTTTGACAGCAGTCCGTTCCAATTTAAAGACAGCTGGATAGCTGTGGTCCAGAATGCTATTAAAACCTGTGCAAGAATGTGTCCTGTAGTTTGAAATAAACCATCAGCCAGGATTTCAAATTGTTCAAAAGCTTCCTGTTCCATTTGCTTTGCAGCAGACTCATCAATAACTTCCAGCATTGATCCATCCATACTGCTTCTTAGTCTTTTAACTTCCAAGTGGACTGTAGACTGCATTAATTCCTCTATGAAGCTTTCTTGTCTTCCTTCTATACCACCACAGGCTTGAAACAAAACTTATGTCCTTGTTACATCATTTCCCTTCTGACTTTTTAGGTTTACATTGTTTCAAACTGAAAATGTATCTCACTGACACAGTGATACTGAACCGAAGCGAAGTTGTTTGGAAGAGAATTCTTCTGCATGGAGGTAAAATGACCTGTTGATCAAGGCATTTGAAAAGTCATTTCTTACTGGTCAGAGCAGAGGAATCCACAAATACCTTCTAGACATAATGGATTCATTTGGTGGTTCTGTAACAATTGCTCATGTTCTCCAGAAAGGGAAAGGCTTCTTGACTGGATTTGTCATGTTCTCTGGACCACCTAGCCTTGAGTTTGTCTTGCCACACATTAAGCAGCAGTTTACTGTAATTTGAGGGTCACCATGTATGCTGATGGTTGCTTGAAAATTTGGGGTGTTCACTCCTCTGTACTTAAGAATTAATTTGGCCTTTCCTCCTGGGAGATTAGTAAAGCAGAACTTGTCACTAAAATGGCAAGTGGGAGTGCATAGTGGATAGTTCCTCAGTTTTGCTAAAATAAGAGTCTTCAAAATATTGCAAGGTTTTTCAGAATTCATAGTGAACTACTTGTTAAATATTTGTTCAGTGCTGAAATGTCTTCTTCCTTCACATCTAAAATACCCTGGAATTTGAATTTCACTGAATTTCTGGCTGTAGCCCTTTAATTCTCATGCAGAACAAAAGTAATCTTCTAAGAATCTGGGTATGGCTGAACAGAAATTATTTTATCCAAGTCACTCTAGGTTTGGTTACGCTTCAAGGACACATTGTGAATCCCCCTTTCAGTATCATGCAGTGAGAGATACAGCCTGAGTGGGATGCTTACTTTGTCAGTCCTGAGGTCTTGTCAAGCTGATCACTAGTCAGTCCTCAATTAGGCAGGCAGGGGTTTGTGTGGGAAGGGCATTGGGGTTTTTTTCTTATTACACAGTTCATGGACCAGTAGGTAACAAGAACATTTTGCAGACTCTGCTGGTGGTTTTCCTTGAGAAACAACACCCTGTGACAGTGTTGCTCTCTCTGTTGGTGCCTTGCATTTATTTAAACTGGATCATGTATTTGTGTCTTAATTGTTGTGATTTTCTAGCCATGGCATATGAACATAAACTTCTCCATTACACTTTTTCTTTAATTTCCTTTATAGAGCATTATGCCTTTTCTTTCAAGATTAATTAATCTTAAACAGATTTAAAGTAAAACTTGGAGTTGATAGTTTCTCAATGTAAACCATGTGTGTATGATAGCAAGGATACCCACTACACAAAGGAGTAGTCACTGTAGGCAGAATGCAAAAGAAGAGGTAAAGATAGTTGCCAAAAGTCATTCAGAGGTACACATAACACAATAATACAAAATAACACAGAAGAACACACATCTTCTCTTGTTCCCTCTGTATAAGTCAGCGCAGCTTCCTGACATAATGGTCAGGCCCCCTGCTTGGTGCTTTTTTGAAATTGCCTCAGCTGCATGGGCCACCAGTCCTAATCTGTTCTTGCTATGGATTTACAGCACATGCAGAGCACATGGAAATAAAAAGCCATCTGTGTCTGTCTTTGTGATGTGACTTTTCACATCCCTTCTTCCACAAGAGAAGGAGCTCTGTCAGTCTGACTGGTGGTTTGGAATTTCACACCTGGGTTAGTTGTGTTTGAAAGGGGAAAGACAGGTTTATTGGTGGCTTTTGTGGTCTCAAAGCCTGATGCAGTTTATAGGTTCAGAAGAATGTAGTCATGCTCTCATGCTGCCTGTTATGCCAGCCATTAACTGCTGGAATAAGATCAGTATTGTGCTCATTGTCATTAAAAGGAAGAAATTAAATCTCCCTTTGCAGTAAAAAATCATACAAGGGAGATGTGCTCTTCCAGAGTGAGTCACCTCCTCACTTTAACTTTTTCTGTTTAAGTAAAGGATAAATTTGTTCTTGATCTTATGAACAATGCAGGTAGGCAGGAGGGTGCTTTTTTGCCTTTTTACTTTTTTCTTTTGCCTTCTAATCAAGTACACCTCATGACCTACTGCTGCTCCAAATCCATGAATATATGTATGAATGTATGAAAACTCTGTGCTTTCAGGATGTGTTATATAAAAACACCCCAGTATATCTAGATTATGTATGATCAATTCACACAGCTGTTTTTGCTTAAAAAGCCTTTGCAGAGCCAGGCCTGAAGTCAGAATCAAATATTTAATAGTTGTTTGACTTCTAGTGAACAGTAAATTAGTATCTTGGCTTTAAAGTATTTTGCTGTTAGTGACTGTACAGCTCACTCTGTACCTGTCACACACCACCAAGTACTAACATTTACCCAACACCACACATACCAGGAACTAGGAGAGGCAGAGACAGCTGGTTTCTCCCCTAAAAAGTCACAGAGTTGTTGCCCATGGGCCATCTGTCATAAGGTCTTAACTATTTGCAGGCATCGGATAAAGGTCTGTGTTCTGAACCCTCCTAAGCACACAGCTCCCACCACAGGGAGTAGTTCATAAGCACAGCTGCTCTTTTCCCTTTAAATTCTTCAGCCATGTCCTGCTGGTAGAAGAGAATTCCCAGAAGTGCATTTTCCCAATGCCTTTTTGAGACTCCTTTCAGTCCAGAGTGCTCAGACTGCCAGCCAGCTCTGCAGATGCTTTCATACATTGAGAATAGGAACTGTGGAAGTTTCTTGCAGAGCACAAATGCTGATTGCATTTCCTGTGATAAATCTATTCCCCTTTCCTATCTTGAATTCATGTGCTTCTAGAAACCCTCCCTTTATACCATGACTTATCTCTTTAAGTGTCTGCTATGTAACTATGTAAATACTGGTGGCGTATCTCTGATAGAGATTGTCACTGCATTGCTACTGGTAACCAGTGGTTATGTCACTTTCCCTCGCTTGAATAGGCTTTGACTCATAGTGGTTTTCAGGACAATGGTTATAAAATAACACACTGAGAGGTTGCCGAGACTATAGTTTTGCAATAGAGACAACTGTCGACCTCAAGGCTACACGAAAGAATTTTTCTTCTTTTTCTTAAGAGTTTTGCTCTTTTATAACATGAGATTTTCTTGCATGGAAGTTTGGAAAACAAGAAGTCTATGTTAGCAAGCTGAAGCCTGGAGAGAAAACACACTTCTGAGCACAAATGCTCATTATTTCTAACTCTTCTGAAGTACTGCTTAACTGAAACTTTAAGTGCTTCAGTTGTCCCACCTTTCTTTGGATTACTTGCTGGCAGGCTGTGCCATACTTTGGATTATTGTCTGATTTAAGTGATGGCAGAAAGTAATGAAACCAGTGCTTATTCAATTATTTTTTCTAGTTAAAGGACTTGCTTGAGAAAATCAGTTACATGTTAAACTTTTTCTTTCTTTTTTTTTTTAAATATTCAAGAACCCTAGAGACAAGGGCCAAGTTTTTGGCAGATGCAAAATATCTTCATATCACAGGAATCAAAAGACAATTGAAGGGTCTGATGGCTTGCTAACATTTCCAGGTACATATCTGATTTTCTGTATAAGCATAATGTTGCCTGCACATGGACACAAACATCACAAAATTAGTGTATATCATTAAAAGTTCAAATCCAGATTTTAAGCAGCTTTAAACTAATTTTTCTCTTTAAGGTAATTTGAATTTTCTCAAGTACCCTTCCTAAACAAGGTCTTGCAAAACTCAGGTTGCCTCTCCTTTCTTTTATCTTTTCTTCTGTCCATTCAAGCTCCACAGGCAGGGCTTGTCCCTTAATACCTGCTTAGCTCACACAGCCTAAACTGGGGAGCCCAGACACTTCTGCAAGTAAGAAAAAGGAAATTAATTCCTTCATCCCCTCTCTTGAGCTTTGTGAGGAGGCTGATTATATCAGTAATAGGATATCATCAGAAATTCCAAATTCTGCAGTGGATTTTAGGAGTGTGAAAAGTGCTCTATATTTTTAGAATATAAGTGTATGTATACATAACGTGGACATTTCTGGTAACTGTAAATATGCATAAAGCTGCAAACAAAAAGCATTACACAACTTCTTTTAGAACAGCTTATTTTCTGTAGTAGCACAGGTGATTTTCTCCCTAGACTACATTTAGCACAGACAGTTACACAACTAGTGCAACTCTCTCATCTAACAAGAATTGGTAGGAACATGCAGATTGAAACGGTCAACAAAGCTGCTCTTAAATAAAACAAAGATACATCACAAGGCACGTGCTTTTCATCTATAGTCTAGCACAGACAGGTAGAGCTGTGCAACATGCCACACTGCGAAACTAAATAAACACATTTTGCTTCTAATGTTTTCCTGAGTTGTTCTAAAACCAGGAGTACCTGACATTAAAATAGCTTCACTACTACGCAGATTCCCTTCAGGAGAATGATTAACTGTGTAGCTACAAAGCTTCGCTATTCCAGTTCTAGCAGGAAACGGCATTCTCTCTTTTCAGAAATCACTTCGAGCCGATGTTTCCTTCGCACTACCGGAGGTACGAAAACACCGAACCCTGGAACGAACCGTGTGTCTCACCGAGGCGCCCGCGCAGACCGGCGGGTCAAACCGAACTGGGTGCGCGGTGTGCCCGGTGGGCAGCGCTCCGCAGCCCAGCGCCTCAGCTCTCCGCCGGCTCAAACCCCCCCCCGGCGCCGGGGGAAGCGCTGCCGGGACGGGGTGTCCGAGGGGATGGAGGACCCCTCACCGGAGGAATAGAAGACCTCTCCCGGGGGGATGGAAGACCCCTCCCGAGGATGGGGGGGGCGGCCCCTCCCGGTGCGGGCCGGGCCCGGCGCGTTACAAAACCGCCTGGTTTTGTAACAACCTGCGGGCGCTGCCCAATGAGCGCGGCCGCCGCCGTCACGTGCCCGTCTCTATATAAGCGGCGGCGGCGGCGCGGGGCGCTCCCGGCGCGGGGCGGCAGCAGCACCATGGCCCGGCGGGGCCGCGCCGCGCCCGCGCCTGCCGGTGTCCCGCGCCGCCCGCCGCGCTAGAGCCGCCGCCATGGGCTCGCACCTGCCGCCGCGCCCCGAGCCCCAGCTGGTGCTGCAGCTGGCGGCCGGCGCTCTGCAGGCGCAGAACTTGGAGGCGCCGGGCGGCGGCCTGGGGCCCGAGTGGCAGGTGCTGCTCGGGCGGGCGGACGCGCTGGCCTTCGGCGGGCGGCTGCACGAGGCGCTGCCGCTGTACCAGCTGGCGTCCCGCCACCAGCAGCTGCGAGCCGAGCAGCTGGAGAAGCTGGTGGAGTGCCTGGCGCAGGGCGTCCGGATCAAAGAGGGGCTGCCCGCCGCCGGGCAGCCCGCGGCACCCCGCGAGTGGGACGTCTTCAGGTGCCGCAAATGCCAGGGCTTCCTCTTCGAGCCCGTTTCCTTGCCTTGCGGACACACGTTCTGCAAAAAGTGCCTGGAGAGGGACCGGGCGCCCGAGTCCCGCTGCGTCCTGTGCAAGGAGGCGGGCGGCGCGGCGGCCGGGCAGCTCCTGCGGGTCAATGTCATCCTCAGCAACCTGCTGACCAAGTGGTTCCCCTGCCAAGTGAAGGCTTCGCAGCTCCGGCACGAAGGGAACCTCCTCTACAAGGAGAAGAAGCTCCAAGCTGCCCTGCAGAAGTACAACGAAGCGGTCAGCCTAGGTAAGGGCTCCCCCGCCCCGGTGCTGCTCCCCGGCTCCTGGGGAAGATAACTTTGCACCGGCCGGGGCTCGCTGGCGGCCTCTCCGGCGCCTCTCGTCCCGCCGAGCCGTGCCGGGGACGCGCTCCCGCTCGCCGCCGGCTCCCCGGTGCGGGTGTCGGGAGAGCCCTGGAGGGGAGCCCCTGGGAGGGGTCTCGGCTCTTCGGCCCGCGGTGAAACTGGGTCAGGAGAGCAGCGGTTGCGTAAGCCCGAGCCTGCGGTCCGGCTGGGCTCTCTCCGGCCGGCGCCGTTGTGTAACTGGCGGAGCCGGGGGGAGCGGAGCGCCGCGCCCTGGGCATCCCGCCGCGCCCCGGGAAGGGCTCCGGGTGCGGGGGATTCCCGCCGAGCCCCGCCGTGCACGGAGGAGCCGCTCGCAGCCGAGCGCGAAGGAGGCGGCGGGGATGCGTGTCCCGCACCCCCGGCCGGCCCGGCCGCGCTCTCCCTCCCCATCGCCGGGGAGCGCCTGCGGGGCTGTGCAGGGAGAACTTTTGATGCTGTCCTTTTCCTGCCGTTTGAGGAAAACTGACTCACGCTGCAAGTATTAAGTAGAAGTTAAAGGCAAGGTATTATAGGAAGCGTTTCACTTACACGAAAGTGTTCCCAAGGAAAGTGCCCAGCCTTTTCCCAGCACACGCTGTGTCTCGATGCTACAGCGTGTGTAACTCAGTGATCGTTGTAGCGCTACCTGATTCTTCATGTTGTCCCTTCTTTTCCTGTGTTTTGAGCTCTGGCATGAAATGATCATTATTTATCACTTAAAAACTTCGATGCTACCAAATTTAAAACTCCTCCCTACAGGATGACAGCATTCCTTCTGCTGTCTTAAATGTCTCAGGAGACATTTCTACCAACCATCTCATCCTCAGTCAGTGCTGGTAATTTATTTTGTGAGCGTCTTAGCATTTATTTATGCAATATTCTCTGCAGTTATATAATACGTAGTTGGCATTTTGTCTGGAGTTGCCCAAAGAGGTTTCCAGATTTCATTTAGTACATGGTTATTTAAAAACTGCATGTTTTGTGGGCTTGTGCAACTTGGAAGTACCAACATGTGTTTAAAAAAAAATAAAACTTAATGACTAAAGCTTATGTAACTAATTTCTTTTTACCTAATCAACCACTTTTTCTATTTCCTACAGCTCCAAATGACCACTTACTATATAGCAACCGGTCCCAGATTAACTCTACTTTGAAAGCTTGTGAAGATGCATTGCACGATGCAGAAACAGCATGCAGGCTCCAGCCATACTGGTTGAAAGTAAGTTCTGAGTCCAGCTGTACTTTTTTGAAACCTTGATACTGCCCTGATAGGAAATGGTTAGAATGTTCAGACAGTGGAATCTGAGGGAGGCTTTAAGTCCTGTAACTTCTTGGACTTCTGCAGTTTACAGACATGTAACCATTATATTCTTGAGCTTCCTGGGGTAAAGGAAGAGAGTGCTAGATCTGGAGAATGAGCTAAGGCCATTATCTTTGACTTGGATGAATATCAATTTTGTGAACTCTCTAAAAATTGTGTGCTAAGGACAAAATTACTGTTTTAGAAGGTGGATGTAGGGAAGTAGATGTTTCTAATATCAGTTGGGCTCAGGTGCCATGAGAATCATACATGAGTGGAAGAATATCCTGTTTATGCTTGTGGTTTTCAGGACTGTTGTGTTTAGAAACCCAAGCACTGGTGGTGCCTGTCAGGGTGTAAGACATGGTTATAGTGATGTTTGCTGTCTAACTTTTCCTTCTTAAGAAAGATCTTTTGTACTTTCACTGTGGTTTTATTGCATATTCTCTTGACAAAAGCTGCAGCTGTGGATGTTTCCTTGCAGGGTCACCTAAGGAAAGGACAAGCATTAGCTAATCTGGGGAAAACAGAAGAAGCTTTAAGGGAGTTTCTATTCTGCCTTGCTCTAGATACTGGGAACAAGACAGCCAAGTCTGAGGCGCAAAAGGTGAGTTCTCTAAATCATCTGGAACTGCACAATTCTTTTCAGTGGTCTCTCATAAAGGAGGATAAGATTTTTTTTTCTTTTCCTCTCTCTCACTACTGTAGAGAGCTGGATGGAGATACAAATCCAGACTGTTGTTCATATTTGAGTCATGTATTGCTAATCTGAAGGTAGGAAGGCAGCAAAAAAATATACTCAGCAGCCATTCAGTGGAAACAATTACAGTGTTAGCATCAAGAAATTTGAAGGAAAACTGAATTGTTAATAATTGCCCCCCACAGACTATTGTGATTCTCAAATTTTTAATCTGATTCCTAGCCTGGCAATCTATTGCCAATGATGGAGTGCAGAAGAGGGGGAGTTGCTGTAGAATGGTGTATCAGGCCAATGACTGGCAGAACACAACACGCAGCATTCATCAAACTCCACTTGGGAGCAGCGGCTTTCTTCCTACTGCCAGTCATGCTGCCCAAGTGTCAGTGTGTGCAGGAGGTGTGAAAGAGGAAACAGTCAACAAAGGGAGAGCAGTTTTAAGATAGTTTTTTAGGGTTGCTAATAATTAATGCTAAATAAGCAAAAAAATTGGATCTTCAGTGAGGCTTTTTTCAGTTGCAGCCTACAATGTGTGTGAATTCTTATAATGTCTTTTGTGAATACTGCTGTTTTGTCCACCCCTCAAATCTCTGATATCCTGTAAATCATTATTTTGACATTTGATTTTGTTGTTGTTGTTGTCATAGTTAAAAGGCTCAGTGTGGCAGTGATTACTTATGGCAATAAAAATAAAATAATTTTATTTTCCTTTATGGCAGTGTATTTATGCCGTTCTCAATCACTGGTGGGATGGGAACATTAGGGTTTCTATGTCCTGTAGCTCAGGACATAAGGCTTTCTATAAATACAGTAGAATTCTTACAGTAAAACTCTATTCATGAAGGTAACAGTATAACCTGAATGGCTGTAGTGAAATCAAGTTTCCATCCCATTTTATATACGGTTGAGATTTCAGCCTCTGAGGATTTTTTGTCACTGATGTTTGAGGGCTTTGTTAGCTTTTTTCCCCAGTGGGTTCCATGCAGTCTTTCATTGTCATCATGTCATGATTTGTGCTCACAGTCATGCTGGAAGACTTTCTGTGCGCTACAGCAAAAAGACAAGAAACAAACAGATACGTTTCTAAATTCTGGCTCCAAATAGCCGTTTCCAAGACATTTAATTTCTGAGCAGTGGGATTCTGAGAAAAACTAGGCTTCTTATGACTGAAAGAATTACTGGTGCACTCATCAGACACAGAGTTCATCCATGATGCAATATTTTACTGGGTCATTTCCAAGGCTGCTCGTGTAACAATGACATCCTACATTTTACCAAATTCTTTGGGTACAGTTGTGATGTTCTGCTTGTATTAACTGTCTGCCTGTGTTAGTTTGGACATAGTGTGATCCTGTGAAATCCTTTTTGGCTTTAAATAGAAATCTCAGCTGTCATGTGGCTTCCTCAGGCATCAGCAGGATCACCTCAGTAGTATGTTGAAATTAGTTTTTGAACTGTGAATCTTCTATTCATCTCTGTTTCTTTCCTTAAATATTCATCTGATAATCTATGCCATACAAGGGGCTTCAAGCTGCTACTTGAAACAGATTCACTTATTTTCTTATAGCAAATGAAAAAATAGCATTTTTCTGCTGCCTACATTTTTTGTATTCTCACATAAGTGAATTAAAAATAGCTACAGTTCACAATATCAGACACATTTATCCAACTGATCTTGGATTAAGCCTGTGAGATGAGTGCTTTCTGTACTAGTAAACTCCTGTGAAAGATGATGTGAAGCAAAAAAAAAAATAACAACCCAAAAACATTTAAGAACGATGTTAATTTCTGGTGAGCCCTGAACTGCAGGACAAAGAGGACAAAGGCATGTGTGTGTCACATCACAGAGAATGGTTAATAACTCTGTGGGCTTATTTAACTCTGAAAATGTTTCTTGCTGTCTGTTTGGCCTGTATTGCATTAGGTCTTGCACTTTTTGTTCCTACCCTAGTTTAAAGGGCTCTTTAAATTATTTTAACAAAATCCTGGATGCTTCTTTCAGCTATTCCCTTACTTGCTTTTTCATTTAGAGGTTGCAAGGAAGGAACTAAGCAGTGAAGTGTTCTGTTTTATATCACAGCTTCTACTTAGTTTGTTTTCACTCATCCCGGGAAATGCTCAGGAACACTTACCCGATATCCTGCAGCTGTTGTCACATCACTCTAGATTAAAGGGGAATCTCCTAAATTCAGTGGGATCTGGAGGCACCAGCCATAACCTACAAAGGTTGCTCAAGGTAAAGATCAAGTCTGATGTGTGGTTCTTAATTTGTTGTGTGTTTTGTGTTCACATTGGGAAGCCTTTCCTTTTTGCCTCTGGGAGACAGGAGGATATATTTTCTCAAATTTTTACTGAGTTTCAGAACATACAAAACAGTGTTAACTTACTCAAGTCTCCTCATTTGACTTTTTTTCTTTAATAGAAGTCCTCTGTTCTGATAAATTTTATGTCAGAATTGAGTGGGTTCTGCTCCTGTAGTTGTCTTTAGGTCTCTCAAGTAGTTGGTGGTGGAAATGGGCCTTTGTAGATTGGATTTAGAAACCCTCAAAAGCTGTGAAATGCTAAAATATAGAGCTTCAATTTGAGCCATAACTGGTGATGCCAGTAACAAAGTCATTCTATACTCGGTCTGTGCAATACTTAGAGGTTATTGTAGAGCTACATAAGAGATATTGGCTACTTCATAACTTTGATTTTGCAGCTGTAGTTTTGTAAATGGCTGCAGAGATTTACATTCATAGCCTTTTAAGGATCACTTCTGCTTCACTGAAACCTGAACTTTGGGATGGGGCTTGCATATATTTTATATTTAGGAGAAAACTTGGCTAGTCCTTACAAAACAAAAGTAGCAGGTTCTGAGCTGCCTTGTTGAGACTGATATGAAGCAGTCAGTGACATTGCCCCATAGAAAGGCTGTTAGGATATTCTGGCAAGAAACCCTTTTGCATGACTTTCACAAATTCAAGGGACAGTTCACTCATCTTTGTGCATGTTACACATCACAATCCACAGTGTCTGGTTTTGGGTCCATCCAGGGAGGTGATGTTACGAAGCTGACAGGTGATGTCCTGTGCAGTGGCTGCTCACAGGATGTCTTGTGGCCATAATGGAATAAACCCTGAATGGTTTAGCCTCTGAGAAAGGAATTGCCTTGCAAGAGGAAGCTCTGGGCATTTTCTCTATTACAAATTTTGTGTGTTTTTACTGCTTCCTTAAAATGAACTGATGTTGTTTTGGTTTTCCTGTTGGTTGATGCCATCACCATGATACAAACAATTTGCATTTTCATGTAAGTTCAGTGATAACAATATATTTAACATGAAATATAGCCACATTTCTGCCTGAATCCAGTTTCACAAGCTTTAAAGCCACACAAAAGGGCTGGAAATATGCAGTGGTTGGGAGGGAAAATCAAGTTTTTTGGTTGCTTGCATTTTGGAGTTTGATTTATTTTAATTAGGACTAGCAATTCTCAAACTCTTACGTCTTTACCTACAAAGTCCTTCCTGGTGATCCATAATATTAAAGAATTTTGAAGTTGAGTTTTTTCCTTACCAAGTTGTTGGAAGATTGGTCTAATGTCAGTCCTCTCTTCACACAGGTCAATGTGGAACAGAAAAAGGGTTTTTCTATTCAAGAGGAACCAAATGTAACTACTTCTGGTAGTTTGAGGAAATCTATACAAATTACAGAGAGCAAAAAGGACTGCTCAGAGGAGGAGAACAAATTCACTTCCATGCCAGAGTCTACTTTTCTCATTTCTGAGAAATGCAATCTCCTGAAAAGGAAGTGCTGCTCAGAGGAGATGCGAAATGCTGAGGTGCCCTGCAAACTGATGAAGAAAGGTATGTTTAATAACACACAGGACAGGTTCCATGGCATGCAAACCATGGGAATTTTCTTTTGTAAGGTTCAGACAAAGAAGAACCAAGTTACACTTTGCCTTTTACATTTTCTCTTTTGCCTAACCAAGGCATGCATGTTGTGGAATCTTTGCTGTGTGTAGGGAGAAAAAAGTCTAAAAAGGGGCAAAAAAGGTTGGGTCATGTGGTTTTTTTCAGCAGAGCTCTGAATCTTTTAAAGAACATCAATGTTGCACGTGGTCCTAGCACTGTCTATAATTTTAAAAGTTTTAAAGTAGAAATTCTGTTTGTTCTTTATATCTGGCCTTGTTACCGTGCTGTGGGATGTATTTACAATGGTATAAGAAAAGAATTTGTCTCACTTTAAACTTTCAGCACTAACAAAAAGTGTTGTGACATTGATTGCTAATGCAAGGCCAGATTGAACCCTCTGTAAGTGGGTATAATGTGACCAAAACTAAGGGAAGATTTGCTGATTTGTGCCAAGGCTGAATTTTGAAATGAAGCTTTACATAGAAATTACTGTAATGATGCATCATGGTTCAGTAAGTCACAAGTATCTACAACACACATTTAAATATCAGATGCTGGTGTAAATACATGAGTTAACATTGTGCTTGCATAGTTCTATTCAATTACTTTCTTTTTTTCTTTTTGATAGACATAGATACTAGGGAAAATAGTACTGGACAACATATTCCATTTGAAGTTGTGGATCCATCAGATTTGGACTGTTCCCTGTGTATGAGGTGTGTTCTTTTCTCACAGATATCTGTAGTTTTCCAGCTGTATCTTCCTGCCTTTTATGACCTAGAGATTTTCTAGCTTACTTGGTACTTACTTTTGCCTATGACATGAAATTAGCTTTTACTGCAATTGTTGCTCCTGTGATGCATCTCTGAACCTTTAGTTCTGAGCACTGTTGAGGAATGGGGACTCTGATCTTCTCTGGGCTAGTGATTGCTTTGGAAAGGGCACACAAAGTCACAAGAGTTAAGCTGGTAAATGAAGGTGTCTGGAAGATTTGCTCTCGCCACTGGCACAGTGCACAAACCCACGGTTTGTCATCTGGGAGTTTGTAGAGCTGTTTGTCATGAAAAGCACAAAATACCTGAAGAGACCACATCCAATGAATGTTCTGAGTTTGCATGTGAACTGTGTTGCTGCTATTGCAATAGGAGGATCTAAACAAGAGTATGTTTTAACTCTCTTCCTTAAGAGGCATGTTCCTCACTTTACTGAGGCAGTCACTTCATTTGCTTGAAGATTTCTTCCAGTTAAACAACAGTTATTCTTGGGAACAGTAATGGCTTAGGAAAACAAGTAGGAGTTGTCAAATGCATCTATTTTACTACTTGTTTTGTACAAAACATTACAACTTTGGCAAATACATTATGTGGGGGGGTTTAATGACTTAGAAATATTGGGAAGGTGTTTTACTTGCTGCAGCAAGTGTTGCTTAGGTTGTTTGGTTTTTTTAATTACCCAGATTTATCTGTAATTCATGTTTGGGTTAGTTTTGCGCAATATTTTTTAATTCTTAAATACTAGATAGCCTCTTTAGGGATTTACTTCTGAAGGCAAATGATTTGAGAAATCTGGATTTTGTTGTTTGTATGCAGAAGAGGAGGCTTCAATTTGTTTCAGACAAACTGAAAGCTTTGAGGACTAACTGCTGTATTGTTTGATTTGCTTCTGATTGGTATAAATCAGACCTGCCCCTTCTCCCTCTGCCTGACTGCAGCTGAAATATGTTCCAAAAGTTTATGCAGCTGTCAAAACACTCAGTAGTGCAAAGAGCAAAACTTTCCTCTAGCAGAAAGCCACACAATTAGTCTTAGATGGTTTTGTGATTCTGCATGTTTATCATGGTGTCCACAAAGCATTTTTCAGATGTTTTAAATAAAATTAATTAATCCTATTTTCTCATCCTCTATGTTAAATCAGTAACAGCCAGCCTACAATACATTTGTAAAGGAATTAGGCCAAGGATTACTGTTTCCTTTACAGTACAGAGGATGGTATAGGTGCTGTGCTTGGAACTCCCAAATGCAGGCCTTGCCTTCAGAAGGATGTTAGCTGCACCACTGCACAAGGAAGGCTTGTGCTCAGAAAAGCTCTCCTAAGATCTTTCTTGTTATTTATGCAGACTGAATATATTTCCTGCCATGTTCTTCAGAAATGTTTTGGGGATTTGGTTCCTGAGGTACTTTGGACTAATTACCTAGTAACCTACTGACCTGCTCACAATGAACTGCAGGAGCTGTTATTAACATGTTTGTCTGATGCAGTGGCCAAAATGTTATTGATCCACCTTTGCTCCAGCAGCAAGCAGAAAATGCAAAGTAGTTAAAGCAAGATACTGGTGAGAAAAGGAGCATTATTCTGCAGCAATTTATTTCCTGCTGTTACAGTAGCTCAAAGTAATGTCATGAGAAGTCTTGGTGTGTAGTGTTTCTTCCTGAAAGTCACAAAGCGTGTCCAGGTCCTCTTAAAGTTGTTACGAAAAGCTGCTACTGGCTTTTGTGAGAACTTGGGCAGACTTGGGAATCTAAACAGGAGTATCTTGTCTTTATGCCACGTTTCAGATGAAGTCAGTTCCTACCAAATAATTACACATGCAATGCAGTGCATACTGGAACACGGGGTAGAATTCAGTGATTCACACAGTTTAAGTGAGGTTTCTGTTCATGAAACAGTTAACAAGTGTTTTCAATTACACCATCAGTTTGCAATAAGATAGGTGTGGCATTTTAGATACCATTTCATATGTTCCATTGCTTAAATGTCAATGTTTTTAGTACCTAATGACATTTAATGAGCTCTTTATGGCAGTCTTGTTAAAAGCCAGTTGCATCCTTAAATACACTCATCTTGTCAAAGATGCTAATAAACGTGAGTTTACATATTGTAATTTCCACATGTTTAATAGAACATACTGTACTGTTTTGATAAACTAGTACTTTAAAGAAAAAATATTAATTAAATTATAATGAGACTAGTATTTAAGACCTTAAAATGCTTAGACAGTATGTTGTAAAGTACAGTATATTCCAGACAATTTACTTTCTAGATTTGAATTGTTTCTATTTTTTAAAAGAATCTTCTGTTGTATTATGAGATGTATTATTTACATCTCCTTAAGATCTTTATTGACAAGGAAACATGGCTTTGCAATATCACAATCATAATAAGGAAAAAAAAATATTTACATGAAAGTAAGTATCATAGAGCTCCTTGAAATGGGTAAAGAATAGGTACCATGATACTTTGAAGACCTGGCTTTTTATATATTTAAATCTTCTTCCAGATGAAACATGAGCTGCCCATCACTCATTTTCCAGAAAAGCAGTCACTTGAAGGTTAAAAACTATTAAAAAAAAAAAATCAAGAACCCCATGAATACCCATTAGAGGTGGCAATAATAGATTCATAAAATTGTTCAGGTTGGAAAAGACCTCCAGGATTTTTCAGTTCCACCATTTATTCCAGAGCTGCCAAGTCCCACTTTATTGCAATTACTGATGTGGGCTATTACTGCAAATAGGTATTTTGTGTTTAGCTCTGCAAATACAAGTAATCACAAAATTTCAGTAACAGTTGTGCAAGTACTGCTCAATTTCATTAGTGACATCAGATGGTCCAACTTCTGCTTCTGTTTATTGCTCACACAGAAGAAAATTAAATGTTGGCTTGTTGGAAGTTTGTGACAGTATTGTCCCTGACATTCACTGAAGTCAGAGTTCATGGGCTGCCTTTCATGTTGGGTGGCAATGATAATATCTAATTGTAATAAATACAAAAGTTGGTTGAAGAAATTAAAAGCAAGAAGCAACTTTATCTCTGTAGTAGTCAGTAGTTAAGTTAGTGAATTAATTCAGCTTTTTTTGGTAGCAACTTTTTTCTTTTACTTTAGTACACGATATTGTTGTCTTTTTGCTCTTGGATTTTCTGATCCAGGCTCTTCTATGAACCTGTCACAACACCTTGTGGACACACCTTCTGCCTCAAATGCCTGGAGAGATGCCTGGATCACAACCCAAAATGTCCCCTGTGCAAGGAAGGGCTCTCAGAGGTAATCCTTGGAAGTTTTCAGCATAAATTCAAGTGCAAGTGATAGGAACAGCTTCACCTTCAGACAGCCTTAATATTTCCTAACACAAAAGAAATATTACATAACTCAGGATGAATGTGACTTTTAAAATGCTCTTGTGAGTTGCCAAGCATGGCTGGTCTGTGTTCAAACCTCAGGACCAGGCCTGTACTTAGAAAATTTCTCTGTAGGTGATTTTTACTTTCCAGATTTCCTAAGTAAATGTCTGTAATGCAGGGAATAGTTAAAAAAACAACTCTTCAGTGGCAGGTTTAACAGGTGATAGAATCACAGACATGATGCAGGAAGTGAGAGTACTGGAGGGTGCCCTTTGCACAGGCACCATACACTGTGAAGTGCTGGATGTTCTAACTACTTGTGTGTGTTCTTACTGCAGTGCTTGGCTATGAGGAAATACTGTAAAACAGTGCTAATGGAGGAGCTAATAGCCAGATATCTTCCAGAAGAACTCACTGAAAGGAGAAAGATTTATGAAGAGGAAATAGCAGAACTTTCCAAGTATGTCATCCATTTATGTAAAAATCTCTGACTCTGCTGCTGTTGGCTGTGAGTGGCTCTGGCTGATGTGGAACATGAGCTGAGATGCTGATGGAGCTTTCTCTGTATCATGTGATTTCAGAGAACAGGGTCCAGGTGAAACTGTGCTTGAGCAAGCATGAAAACTAGACACTGTGCTAAAGAATAAAGAGAAGAAATCCAGAAGGTTGATTTATAAACAAAGTACAAAGCTTTCAGTGGATCTCTATGAAAGGCACAGAGTGAGACAATAGGTAGAAGTAGTCTGACAGGTGTTGCTCTATTAGGAACGGCGAGATTGAACGACACAGACTCTCTAGGAGTCAATCAGGAGAATATCTCTCAGTTTATTACTTCAAGTCTCTTTTATAGACTGATACGTGGAAAGTACAGAAAGGAAACTCTTATTGGTTAGTAAACTACTACATCACCATCATTGGTCAGTGGGGCACACACCCCCCGACCTTCTCCTGCAAAGAAAACAAGGGACAGACAAACAGCACCTGCAAGGCTGTTTTCTGTCTCTGAGGATTGTTTTGAATCCTCCTTATGAATTCTCAGGCCACGTTCTCAGGCAAGACTGAGAAAGCTATGTGGCCTGTAATTTCTACAGGCACTCTGTTTCAGAGTTAGCATCCACAGACAGGATGGGGTTTGGAATATACTGGACAGGGGAGAAAGGGATTAAGGGAAATAAAATAAATAAAAGCAATACTTAGAGATCCAATAATGCTTTCACTAGCAAATTCAGAAAGCTTAATGAAAAATTTGTCTGCTGTTAAGTGGTATATAATTCTCTAGAGTATTTAGTCAGTTAAAGGAAAAATAATTTTAGCTTTTACTTATTCCTTTAAGAATTTTATTCTAAAGATGTTATAATTCCTATTTAAAGATGTCATCACTTCAAAGAATATGAGACTTATGTGTCAGTAGTTTGGTAAAACGTCATTTCTGATTTTTCCTTTCTTTCTTACAGCCTAAATAAGAATGTTCCTATATTTGTGTGCACAATGGCTTATCCTACAGTCCCATGTCCTCTGCACATCTTTGAGCCATGTTATCGGCTGATGATCCGGAGGTGCATGGAGACTGGCACCAAACAGTTTGGGATGTGCATCAGTGACCCTGTCAAGGGGTGAGTGAAGAGCTTGGACCATGTGAGGTACCCACTTAGTCTGGAGCCAGTGGAGAGGTGCAGAAAGGTCCATGGTTGTAATATCTGTGGTAGATTTCCAGCAGAGAAAGTTTCTTCCTAATCGTGCGGGTTAAAGACATTGAGGAGACAGAAGTTTTTCTCTTGAGCTCTTGGATTCTGACTAATGTAATGGTTCTCTCAAAACACTCATAACTGAATGTGTGTAATGTGATTGAGCTGCACACCTCCTGTAATACATGAAAAGAAAGTGTATTTTTCTCCTGCTTTCAAATCTGCTGAATGTTTTGGCACAAGAAATCAAAATGGAAGGAAGGTGTGTTCTTGGCCTAAATTTCCTTAAATTATGGGATATGTTTATATCCTCATGGTTCTGAATATAGTGGAGGCTACAGAGGTGTTAACAGGACCTTCATAAGGACTGGCTGAGCATATACATTGAGACATTTACAGTCAGTCTTAGCTAATTTGACTTCAATGTTTGACTCTGTTTAGCTTTTCTCCCTTTTTTTTTATGCTATAAACCTACTGGGTATGTATAGTCTGTGAAAAGAACAATTTGCAGAAAATACCCACCTGCAAAGTAAAATCTGCTGAAATTGTGCAAAAACTTTTTTCTTCATAGATTTCCTAGTCCTTCCATAATGCTAATACTCTGAATTGCATTTGTCCTTCTGTACAAATTGACTGAACATGTCAGGATTATGGAGGAAGTTTGCTTCTGATCTGTGTATCTTCCAGTTTCATAAGATGTTCCCTGTATTACAAAACATCCAGTTAGCATTAATCAGATTAGACAGTCTGAAACTTACTGATAGTTTTGCAAACAATTGTGGAATAATTTGAACTACAGCAGGTCAGGGCTATGAACAATAGAAATGAGCTGACATTGGTAAATACCTTTGTGGTAGGGACTGGCTGTATGGCAGCTCTGTGGAACTCAGGGTGGAGAGAATAAGACTTGTTTACTCGCTTTTGTTCTGGTTTCAATAGGTTTGCAGATTATGGCTGCATTCTGGAGATAAGAAATGTTGAATTCTTTGCTGATGGTCGCTCTGTTGTAGACAGCATTGGCAAGAGGAGATTTAAGGTGATTCAGCACAGCCAGCGTGATGGATATAACACAGCAGATATTGAGTACATTGAGGATCAAAAGGTAAATTTAGAAATATTTCATGTGAAATTCTAAGCCTGTATGTTTTTAGTGAGTTCTTCTTTTTGTAGAAGTTTCTAATAAAACAAATTTGTGGTATTTAATAACTGCTCATGGTTAAGGTGGGACACACAATAGTCAGCATAAGCACGAACACACACTGCCCATCTACTGAAGAGTGCTTCCTGGAGGTATTTGTCAGAGGACAAGGCTAAGTGAATCCAGGATGAGATCCTACTGCTCTTCTAGACAGAATAATTGCAGTTTATAAGAGGGTAGAGGGGGAACCTCGCACCATTTGTATGGAAGCCAGTTAGAAAAATCCCCATTCAGGTAAGAAGCAGCAGGATGTGGTGCACCATAACCTTCAAAATTGCTCATGTTAATTCTTAAGAGCTTTTGATATATAATGGGAAGATAAAATGTCTACTCTGAGGCTTTACTGATTTTGTTTTTATAAAAAACTTTGCATAATCTTTTTTTTCCAGTTTTGTGTGATGTTTGTGTAAAGGTTTTTTCATACAACAGTCCAGAAAGTTCAAATTCTACAAATAGCTATTTTTGGTTTAGAATACAGCAAAGTGAAGAATTTGGATAGGGAAGGGGAAACACCAAATGAGCTCTCAGTATTTATTCCAGAACTCCTTTGGCATGCTTTTTTTTTCTTTCCCCTACCTAATCCTGAAGATCCTATGCCTTCCCCAACATGGAGACTGAACTAACAGTAACTTCCCCCTCTCATTTCTCATTCCAGGTGCAAGGACAAGAGTATGCTGCATTACTTGTTCTCCATGACTCTGTCTATGATCAGGCTTATATGTGGTTTAACTCCCTCAAGCAAGCACTCAAAAGTCGAATTCTCAGTCATTTTGGTCCAATGCCAGCTAAGGATCCTGACCCACAGGTATCCAGAATCAGTGGCTTATGTAACTTTTAGAGACAGAAATAGCAGGGATATCCGATAAGCTGGCAGGCATTGTGTTTTAAGATGAAAATATGAATACTCTGCATTTACCCCATGTAAGCTGAGCCTCTGAATTCTGTTACCACACACCGGTGGTAGCACAGTGACAAAGAAAAAGCTCGTATTTAATGCTGATAACTTTCTGAGGCTATTTATCTCACTGCATTAATCCCAGGAGGTTGAACCACCTTTTTGCCTTCTCTACTTCCCCAATTAAATGACTGAGAGTAAATAGGCAACTGGAAACTTGTTACAGGACTGCAAATGGTGGGGTCCTAAAATAACAGAATATAACAACAAGAGCTAAATATGAGGTAGTGTCATAAAGTATGGAGAAGGAAGATGGGAATCCTGAAGAGCTGGGTCAGTAATAACACGGGGAAAAAAACAGATTTAAAAAAATTCAGAAGGCCCAGCCTATAAATTGTTGCTAGTAATAAAAAGGCTTTTAACATCCTATTTTCAGGAAAGGTGCTACTTGTTTGTAATCTGTTTCAGGCCAACCAGTAAAAAGCTATTAGGCTGTCAATGAAATTATCTATTTGCTACATTACTATCAAAAACTATTTTCAGAGTTAAATCCTCAAAAACAGGATCTTACCAGCTGTATGAATCCTGACTTCAAATTTTTATTTTTTTCCCCCCTGACTACAGGCTAACCCCAATGGACCAGCCTGGTGCTGGTGGGTCCTGGCTGTGCTTCCACTTGAGAACAGAGCTCAGCTCCCGTTCCTTGCCATGAAATCCCTCAAAGACCGCTTGAATGGCATCAGACGTGTCCTTACGTTCATGTCTCGTACGAGATCACGGTGATGGTGAGGAGCAGAGCTGGGGAGTCTCCCACAGTCCTTGACTGCAGACTGTCTCTTGTAACTTCATCTAACTGCAATAATGTCTTACAGATTTGAGTGTCAGGATGTTTCAAGCCTGAATTTCAAAGAGAATGAGTTATAAAGAGCAGGGGATGTTTATGGATACTTCAATAGTTTCCATTTGGAACTGAGACAAATATTCAATCACTGCACTGCTAAATTAATAACAAATGTGATAGAACAAAAAGTGATCTTGTTTGCCATAAACCTTTTAAAAATCTTAAGGATTTTTTTTAATTTATTTTATTTTTATTTTTTAGTGGATAAAGGATAAACTGTGCAATTTAATGTGAAGCAAAAATAATAAGGTTAATGCATTATTTCAGTGAACTGCAAAGTCTTTTATTCAAATGGTTCAGGGTTTATATAGCATTGTGTAAAATAATGTTCACAACTTCTGTTTGATAATTTATTTTTGCACTATGATTTTTTTGTTTCAAAAATGTATATTATTTATGTGTTCAGTCACTAAAGGAAAGTGAGCTGCTCTATTTATAGTGTTTTTACCCTGTATTATGACTGGGGGCAAAAATGATGATTCTTTCAGTGCACAAGCAACTGCTTTGATAATTTTTCAGTTATTTGTGTTCAAATACTTGGAATGTTTTTCTACTCATCCCCAGTTCTACTGTAGCTTAAGAACGCCCCCAAAACATCCTGCCTTGAAGTCTTTGAATACACAGATTGTCTGAGTTAATTCAAGCACAGCTTGAATGTTGAAGGTTCATCCTATGCTTGTGGCAAGGTTCCTTGATACAACCAAACAGACAAGCACCTGCTTAAGTGCTTGGTAAATTCAAGTACTGATGGTTAATGTCGGTGGGAGCTGACCATAGTGGTGACAGAAGGATATATCCCATAATATTTCACAGAACAGAATAACTTGAATTTATATCTGAACACTTTCTTGCAAAAATGGACAATGGCTGCAAACAACTGTGAAGAAAGAGCTGCAATATATGGAAAGTGGCTTATCCCAGAGAAAACTGGAAGTACTGGTGTCATTTCATTGTAGGTTAATACATAGATTTTTAATTTTTTTTTTTCCCATCAACTCTTGTTGCTGTTAAGATGAGTTTTATTTCTTTTAATTGTTTGGTGGGATTTGGCTTTGGAGTGTGTGTATGGGAGGGGGAGGGGGGAGTTATTTGGAACTGTAGGACTCAGAGGGTAGTTTGTGTCACATTAAGAAGGAATATGTTGTAATAAATGCTATTTATTTCACCCCAATCTTCAGGTTTCTGTTAGCTTCAAATCTCTACCCAGCCATTGCTTTTCTCTTAAGAGATTGGGTAGTGTTGCTAATAATAGTTATCTCCCAAGGAAAGCAAGTGAATTTTAGCATGATTACTTCTAGCTATAAAGCAGGTAAAAATAGGGCAGAAATGAGAACAGGAAGTATCTTGGTTTTGATTTTTTTTTTTAAATCAACAGTTCATATACTTGTTTTGCTGCTTTTATTGCTTACAGTGTACCACTTTCTGGGACTGCTCTTACCTCCACCTGATTTTGACTTTCACTGATTTCAATGTGAGCAAAACTGGGCCTTTTATTCTAAGCTACTGTTTTCCTTTTCAGTGGCAAAAACTAGAATGAAGTGAGAATGTTATGGAATGCTATAGATTTCTTTGGGTTTTTTTACGCAGGATAACACTCTGCCATTTCATGCCTTTATGAAAAAAAATGCAGTAGAATTTAATGTCATTTTTCTGCATCTTTTTCCATTATCTCATCAGAAATATTTATTAGTTAAAAGTAGCTTCCTTCATTCCCCTTTTGTTAAATTCTCTAGAACTTTTTTATAAGGTTACCAAGGAAACAAATGGAAGACAAACATGTTTCACCCTCCTGGTGCACATGGAATCTGTATCCTGTTTGCACTGAGCTGCTTTGGAAATCCTGTAACTTTCTTCCATGCCACTGGATCTCTGCACTTCTTCCATGAGTGGTACTTGGCATGCTGTAAACAATGTATAAAAACACCTCCATGTTGTGAACAGTACCAAGTGATGGTGGCTGACACCTGCTATGGCGTTTTCTCTTCATAAGTCAACAACAAAGTGATTCCTACTTGTTTGGAAGTGAAGCTGCATTAAATGCAATTCTTCCACAAACCATTATGTACTATTGCAGAGCATAAGTGTCTCATGTTGCTCCCACAGGAAAAAAAAACCTTCCACTTTCATTACTCCTACCTGTGAGAAAAGGAGCTTAAATACCTAATTTAAACTGTTTTCTCACTGATGTAATTATTTTTTTACCCTGCATGCTGTGTCTTCTGCATACTCATTCTGCCTATTTTGTTTTAGAAACTGTCATGGAAAGCATCCTTGATTTTAAAAATGAATATTGTCTTTTCTGTTAGCCTTGAGTAAAGCTGCCAGAATTTCCAAGCAGAGACTTGTGTACATGCCCTGCATCGTGAACACCCAGTGCATTTGTTGCAGCCTGGAAACACTGGACCTACTGCATGTAATGCAAACAGGTGATCTGCATATGCACAACAAATCAAAATTCCATCTGTACAGGTACAGTAGCATTCTCTCTGGGGCTGTTCTATGGCCACACATCCTAGATTAATGGCTAAAGTCTGTAAATTCCATCAGAAATGAAAGCAAATACCGAGAAAGATATATGCTAGAGAACACTAACTTGTCCAGGAAAAGCTGGACAAGGAGTACCCTTAGCCTTTATTATGTTGAGATGGTGAAGTTTCAGTAATGATGTTTAAAACCAAAAAAGATCTAGGTATGCCACAGTACCTCTGATTTTTTTTTTCAGTTGCATAAATAAGTACAAGGATGTAAATGCAGCATTTATCACAGGCATGAATAAACAGCTGAACAGATTTAAAAATACCTTCAGTTTAATTATAGAAATAGCATTGATCAGATAAAATACTAATTGGGGAAATATTTTATTTAAGCTGCTCACATTTTTCTAGACACCAAACCCAGTTTTATAACCAGTCTTGCTCATCTGCTAAAAACAAAAAACCCAACAAACCAAACCATGACTTGAACTTGCATTTCCTGCGTGGTCAGAAGTATTGATTTATCACTGTGGGGGCATAAGTAATGCATAGACTGCTTAGACAGTAGTTCAGTAGTTTTAATAATGAAATAATGAAATGGTATGATAGGCCTTTATGCTAAGTCTTAAGTGACATTCTGGCGTTAGTTGTAAAAGTTCCTCTTGCTTTTTTTCTGTGATTACTTTAAGTGCTGCTATCTTCCATTACAATGTAGCAATAAGAGATACCAGCTGTCAGACTGAATGGCTGCTGACGCATTGCTGGGCCGTCCTTCTGTTCTGTACAACTGCTTACTGACAGAACACCTCAAACATCAATTTATTAATCCAAAGATTGTTTTAATCTTAAAAAAAAAAAGTGGATTTGGATGTAGCAGGTCTGTCTTAATCTGTGCTGTAGAGAAAGAGCTTCATAGAGTTGAGTTCTGTTTTAGATGGTCTTTTTACAGAATCATAAAATCCCAGGTTGGAAGGGACCTCAAGGATCAGCTGGTCCAACTTTTCTTGGCAAAAGCATGGTCTAGACAAGATGGTCCAGCAGGCTATCCAGCTGAATCTTACCAGTGTCCAATATTGGGAAACCAACACTTCCCTGGGAAGATTATTCCAATGGCTGATTGTTCTCATTGTGAAAATTTTTCTTTTTAATGATTTCTACTTGGTGCTGAAGTTTTACTGGCATTTAAATCAATGGCAGGAATTGTATTTAAATGCAATGTTTAGGAATGGAGAACATGTTCACAAACATTTATTTAAAAAAGAAAGTGAAAATTAACTATAGGGTTTTTGTGCATAGAAACCCCATAGACCTAAATGCACTTAAGGCAGTGCTCCCCATTTCCCCCAAGTCCTACATCAGATGAACACAATCCCTCTTTTCAACCCCTGCTTAGTTCTCATTTAATTCACAACTGAACCTGTTAACAAGTGCAGCATGTAGTTTAGGAGCTGGGGTTTATTTCCAAAGCCCAGCAAATCACTGGAAGTCTTATGGGTATAGCAAAATGGTAGTTTGAGCAAAGTCACTCTCTTGAAACACTTTGCTAAATAAATATTGTCTGAAAGGAGAAACTTATCTGCTTAGACAGGATTAAAATGGTGGATAATAAAAACCTGAACTATTACATTGACTTGCTCATCCAGGTATCATGTGAAGTGCTTACTAATGTTGGATTTTCATAAGGTCTAAAGTAACCCTCACATAGAAGTGCCTGTATTCTGTTATTGCCATTCTTGAGCTTTTTAATAGTCATAGCCATATATTTTATAAATATAAAACATATGCACCTTTTAATCTTTACATTCAACTTGCAGAACAAAGGTTTACAGAGCAGAAGTGTAGCAAAAACAATGTAATAGCTTCTATTCCCTGATAAGGAACGGGAGAAGTAAAAAATGAGGAGCAAAAGATTATCTGTGTAAGATGTCTTAATCTGGAACCATATACTTGTCCAATTTAATTCCATCAAGCTATGTGGTTACAAGAGTGCCAGAAATATATCTATCAAGCCATTTTAAATAAAAAGTTTTGTGGACTTGTATATTCCATTTGTTTCTAAAACATCCTTTTGTGCACTGTAATGAACTTGAAATGAAACTTAAGTTATACTCTCATATCACTGGACAGAGTACTGTTCAGCTACCTCTACATAAGTTTGAAGTAATTTGTTTTTTCTGGATTTGTTTGCATTGTCATATAAAATATATTTTAAAAAATCATAGTCCAAAGAACCTGTATGTGTTTGTAGATGTACTTATAACTATGTTGTACCAACAAAGTCTGTGTGGAGAGTTGTTTCCTAATTAAAATTTTTGTCTTCTTTATTCTTTGGCTTGCATAACAACTACAGAGGTGGAAAATACTACATGGGAGCTGCTTTTTGTAGGTGTTTTAGATAAAGGAACAAAGAACAACTCCTATATGTGCAGTCACACAACAACACTTGAAGTGAAAAAGCCAAACCATAGAAATTAAGTTGTTCAAACCTCAGATGTTGTAAAAGAGTGCCGCTGGTTTTTGGGTGGTTTTTGGGCTTGGTTTTATTTCCCCTCCTTGCTTCCTTTGTTGCTGTGGTAAAAAGAATGGGAGCTGCAGAAGGTCTGGCTTACTGCACTGCCCTGCACTTCTCTGGGCTTTGGTTCCTCCAATGCATTATTATTTGCTTTGCAGGTTGCTGTGATTTAAACCCATGACCAGGACACCTTTTCATTTACAATCTCAGGCAGGAATGCATCCCAGCCACATTTAAGCTGTGTCTGTGTTGGTGATGAAAGGACTGTTTTCAGTGATGACTATTTAAGAAGTTCCATAGGGCTATCACACTCACAGAAAAAGCTAAAGAATACCTTTTTTCATAAACCTAATATTAAGAATTTATTCTACAAAAAATATCAGGATTTGAAAGTTTTTTGCAGGTTACATATATATATATATATATGAGCTGCTCCTTTTTCCTTGTCATTTAAGCAAGATGTAGCATGCTTGTGACTTGCTGCCTAAGCCCCAGCCACTGCTGAGGTCAGAGGTTTCCTTGCTGGTCTCTTATGTAAGCTTGTTCATGCTCTGCATTTACTTCAGAATCCAGGGCGCAGGCTAAGGCCTACGGTGAGCCTACAACTCATTATGTCAAGGTCTCTGTTATCTGTAAAAAATATATTTGTGTCTGATCAGAGGAAGTTTTGGTTGAAGTACATTTTCATCAGGAAATAGTAAATAGTCAAAACTGGAGCTTTTCTTGGGAATGAGAAAAAGTCTATTTAAAATAGATTTAAACTATTGTTTTTAAATAATAACTTTAGTTTTGAAGGCTTTAAGAGTGGTTATAAAAAAGAGGGACTTAGATGCAATATGAAGCAGAATTTAACCCAAGTATAGGATAACAAAATATTTTCCAACTACTTTCTCACTATGTCCTCATTTTATAACAGTGTACCTACACAGATTGATTCAAATGGTATTTGAAATATGCTAAAGTCATCTACACTTACATAATGCTTCATATTAAAATGATCATTAGCAATTTTGGGTGATTTCTATCCTGTAAATCATTTAAAGGAAAGCCACTGCTTCCAGTCAGCCTTTTCTCCCCAGTTCCCTGACATAAGACCCTGTGCTCACTTTGCTGTGCATGGGATCAGGACTCTCTGCCATTCTGGGTGGGCAAAGGGAAGGGAATGCCATGGGACAGCTCCTGGCTGTGGTGACCCTGCCACAGCTTCAAAATGTTGTCAGTAGCATGCTTTTATTCCGTGAATGAGATGCCACAAAATCCTGGAACATCTCTTAATGTGCCATGGTTTTCTGTGTGACACTGGGTGAAAGTGGCAACAGTTTTTATCTTCAAAAGAGGTGCTGACTTCTTAGTTTCAACAGTTCTTTAGCCTCTACTGTAGGAACCATGGATTGCCTGGTCTTTGCTCCATCGTACTCACAACAAGGACAAGGTAAGGAATGCCATCTCTCAGCCTCTTGGCCACATGTACAGATGAAAGAAGACTAGAAACTGCTTTAGTAAACTATTGTAGGGCTGGGATGGGTTTTTAAAGGGTAATTCTGATTTTCAAATAGGCTTTTATCGTCAGTCACTAATATCAAGTTTGCTAAAACCTACACAACAGAATTGGTTACATCATGCTTACTAGACAAGAGTAATGTTATATATTAACTACACAGATAAATTGTATATTGATACTAAAAATTAATATACAGAGGCTACTAGAAAACATGTAAAGAACAAGCTTTGCTATGAAGACCAGCCTTCAGCTGGCACATACTAAATACTTCTTAGGATAGGGTGTTTTTCAAATTGTTAAAGCCTAAAAATCACTGGCTGAAAGGATCTATATAATGAAAGTATGCACATGCTGTCAATACCAGTTTTATGCCGGTGTAACATCTTTTGTTTCAGTAGATCTGCTCTTGATTTATAATTCCATATAAATGGAGAATTAAGCTATTTATGTAAGTGACTTTATTTATATAACTGACTTACGCTGTATTCTGTGATGACAAAGAAAACCAAGCACATCTCTTTTGTGTTTTCTATGAGCTACAGAAAGATTTTGTAAAAGTAATGCTTTTACAAAGCAATAAACAGTTTTCTCTATGTGACATTAGAAATTCATTCTCATCCATAGGGAGGTTTTATCATGAGTAGAATACAGGGTAATAGATGATACGATAATGTGGAAGGATTCAAGCAATTCTGCAGACAGTCTAGAAAATGTGAAATCTGCACATGACAATTTAGACTGCAAATCAGTTCAACAGAGCAATTGTTATTCAGCTCTTCCTTGGATGAGTCAATGATTTGTACTGTGACTATTAGTACTGAATGTACCATCTAAAATTCATTTTGAAAGATTACTGAAGCATTAATGATTTTAAAATTGGTTCTACAAGTATTTTTTTATCAATGAGAAGTCCAAACACTATCAAGGCTAAAGAGCATAACATCGATTTTCAACATAGCGGAATTAGGTTGTTTTTTTTTCCACATGCTTTTCCATTGTTTTTTATTCCTTAGTGAACAATGGCTATATAATATTTAGGAAATCAGGGTCAGTAGAGTAAATGCTTCTGTAGCAATGTGGCAGACACACCTTTCATAACTCATAAAGTCACTACTGGAAAGGCACAACTGGGTCACAGAAGTGCATGGTGGGATGCTGCTTTCCAGTTATGCAACCAGGGTAACTAAAGGTTAGAGCAAGTACTTGAATAACGAGCTTTTTGCCAGAAAGAGTCGAACAGAAAAACAGTGTTTTTAAATGCTGGCTTCTGAGCAGCAGCCGCCTAACGTGTCTAGTTAGGAGTCATCAAACCGAAATAGAACCGGATGCGTCAGAACTTTGAAGAATGGCAGTTCAACATCCCAAAAGCAAAATACATCTGCTTGTATTCCAAAAGCAGATTCTACCGGTTCTCTTTTTCCCACAGATGATACTAGAGACATTTGCAGCATGCTGCTCCACTTTTTCTCCTGGCTCACTGTAACTGGCTTTATCACTCATCTCATCTTTTTGCTTTCTCCATCATCCAGCAACATTTCCAACTTTGAGGAATTCCACAGTTTTCCCTGTTTTCTTTCTTCCTTATATCCATATGTTGCTGGATTACTTCTAATAAACATAATTAGTGCAGAATTCTTACCTACCTTCTGACAGAGGAAAGAAGAGAGGAAGGAAATTGTGTTTCCACACTACAGTGATTTTCCAAGGTTTGGAAGGCTAGGACTGTAGCCCAAGGGCACAAATTATGACATAACCAGCAACCAACTCCCATCGTGTTCAGGATATTAGTTACAAAAACCAAAGGCTATTGCAAAGAAAATGGTGGTCTTTTAATCACAATTACATGTCCTGCTACAGCTGCACACCAGATAAATATATTAATCAAAATGACCTCATTTTAGGCATGCGTAGCAGTGTGTTATATAACCATGTTAAGTATGCTATTTTATTTTCCTCCCGCCAAGGAGAAATGGTGTTTGTCTCACAAGAGTTCCAAATAAGTCTGGTTATAAGTGATGGAGAAAAGAACAGGAGGGAGAGACAAAAGCGAGAGCATTAATAAGCAAAATGACTCATTTCCCAAGTGCAGAGGTGATGTTACACTCCACTTCTATCTCATGAGCTCTGTAGGAAACTAATGTTGTCATCAGCAGTCTCAGCATTCCTAACATGCCCAGTATTTCTCAAGATGAGAAAAACAGATGTGTGACAAGGATGGAAACTACATCTTTTGAGACCTCATTGGTTCACAGCATTCCTGATCTGTTTTCAAAGCTGATTTTGAAGGCTGCCTCCATGAACAAGGATTTTGCAGATTCCCCATCACTCTTTTTGTTGCTCACTTCTTTGATGAAAAGTGACATTCAATTAATTTGTTTCTAGTGCTACTAATGATGCTTTAAACAAGCTCATATGCATCCTTAAAAGCAGAATACATCCCCCTCCCCCCAAGGCTGAGGCTTGTCTAGATTCATACTGCACTACAGAAAAAAGGACCAAGAGGTGTACATTTTTGCAATATAAGATCACTCAGCCAGAGAACTCTGATAAGTGCTGAAAATGTGAAAAACAAATGGCAGGGTATGCGTTTCCCATTTGCTCAATACACACACATAAAAGAAACACTGTGTAGGCTTCACTGCAGCATACCAGTGCGTCCAAAACTCAAAGGTTAGTTACATAAATGATAAGGCGTGGGCTTAAATGCTTCATTCAGCTTGTTAATTACTTGCTTTGTGGCCTGAGCCAATGTTCTGAAGCAGGTTCATCCAATATTGAGCTGCTTTCTCTGAATTTTCATTTACTGTATTAAGCTGGGAACAATTTGTTGCAATACCTAGGAAGAGTCTGTTTTCTTTTCAAGCAATTCACATAACAAACTTACTCAGACTAATCCACAGATGCTCTTTAAATGTCCTAGCTGTTTCAGAAAATTATGAAATTTAATTCTTTGAGCATTCTCCTTAAACAAGGGAACTGCTGGCTGCATAAATATGCATGTGTTATTGGCCTATGTTTGAGGGTTCCTTTTTTGTGTTCCTTTCAATCTATAGATCCAATATGGGGAAATGAATGGCAATGTGTTAGAAAACTCTCAAAATGCTTATTATGTCTCTGGCAGAATGTAAGAAGCTACATTTTAATAGCAGATGGTAATATTTCTACCTTCAGTTAACTGGGACACCTCATTGATAAGGCTCTTTAATGCCATGGCTATGAACAAGACCTCATTGAACAGCCCATCCCAAGCCAGGCAAACCAACCATCTATTGGCAGAAAGTGGAGTTTAGAATTCTTTACCTCTGTGGAAA